GGTTCGGGTGGGGGGAGAGCCCTTCTCTAGTTCGTCTGCGGCAGCAAATATTTTCCCCTCCCCCACAAGGAGGCTGGTTGATCTCTCCGCTTCCAAGAGGATCCTGCAATGCAAACCTTGTTTGGAGAAGGAACCCCCCCCACCCCCCCTTCCAGCCGACTGCAGATTGCCGCTCCTGGTTCCCAGAGGGAAAGGGGGAGCCCTTCCTTGCTTTCATCCCCCTCCCCGCTGCCCTGTATGTAGATTCAAGGGGAGGAAAAGCAAATTCTTCTCCCTCCCTGCACCCCAAATCTCCCCTTCCCCCGAAATGTTGCACCTTTTCCCTCCTCCTTTGCAGGCCTCCTTCTCTTCCGGGGATGTGCATGGAGACCCCACCCCTACCAACATTGCCTCTACCCCCCCACCCCGCCCTCCTCCGTCACTTCCTGCCTCTCTAGGAAGCGAGTTCGTTCACCCAGGGTGACCCCCCCTCCCTGCAAGCAGAGACCTAGGAATGTAGTGGGAAGGGACCCCCCGCCCCGAAGGTCATGGAGCCCAGTGTCCCTCAGCCTTTTTCCGACCATGGCCCCCTCCCGACCTCCTTTCCTTCCTTCCTTTGCCTCTCCCCTCCTGACGGTAGAAAGGTAGCTATTTAAATGTTTGCTTGTACATAGACCTTTTTTTATTTATAGTTTTTATTTATAAATCCACTGCGAAGCACGGGCACTTCTCTGCTTTTCTTTCTTCACTTCTCACTTCCCTCTGTGCCCCCCCCCCCAAGTCTCGTGCCCTGGCCCATTTACACGATGTTCACCTGTGGCCCCCTTGGAATATCCATGTGCCTCCCCCATTTAGAAACACTGTTTTAGTCTTTAACCAGTTACCTGGGAGTAAACCCCATTGAATTGAGTGGGACTGACTTCTGAGTAAACATCCTGTTCAATCCGAAGGATTTTTATTCAGAAGTAATTCCCACTGAGTTCTATACGACAGATTTTCCCAATTGGGCAAGTTCTGCAGAAGCTGTTTTTCAAAAGCAAAATCATGGACCCCCACTTTTGAGATTTTCCCTGTCTCTACGGTAGATTCTGTTGTGTGAATGGTGCTGTGGATCCCGGGGGGGGGGGAGGTGTTACCTGGAGTGGGCAGACTACCCCATATGGTTTCTCCCCATGGGTTTCATTTTGGGGAAATTAGCAATGAGCCTACAGTGAAGCATTTTGCACACTCTTGTCACACGCCTGCTTGATTCGAGATGCTCCCACATTCCCCTGTGCCACCTTCTCATGTCCTACAAAACATGCAGAGAGAAGTTGGGTCTTTCCTGGTACTCCCACTAAACACCCCCTTTATTCCTGAGACCCTACCTGCCCGTAGACTGTTTTGCCAGAGTGGTGCATGCTCTAGTTACCTCCCACTTGCACTACTGCAATGCGCTCTACATGGGGCTACCTTTGAAGGTGGCCTGGAAACTACAACTAATCCAGGATGTGTCAGCCACACTATTGACTGGGAATGGCCACCGAGACCGTATAACACTGGTCCTAAAGTATTTTCACCGGCTCCCAAAATGTTTATGAGCACAAGTCAAAATGTTGGTGCTGGCCTAAACAGCCTTGGCCCAGTATACCCGAAGGAGCGTCTCCACCCCCGTCATCCGGACTGGAAAATGAGGTCCTCCTCAGAGGGTCTTCTGGCAGTTCCCTCACTGTGAGAAATTACAGGGTAGTAGACAGAGGGCTCGGTAGTGGCGCCCTCCCATCAGATGTCAAAGAGATAAACAGCTACAGTGGTACCTCTGGTTGCGCACGCTTCGGGTTACAAGCTCCGCCACCCCGGAAGTAGCCGCTCCTGGTTGCGAACTTTGCCCCAGGATGCGAGCGGAAATCGCACACCAGAAGTGTGCACGCAGCAGGAAGCACCATTAGCGAAAGCACGCCTCATGCTACGAGCGGTTTCCGGTTATGAACGGACCTCCGGAATGGATTCCATTAGTAACCAGAGGTAGCACTGTACACAACTTTCCAAAACATAGTTCTGTATCAGGAAGCATTTAATAATTTATATTTTGTGTGTTTTTATTATGTCAGAAGTTGTCCAGAGTGTCTAGGTCAACCCAATCAGATTATTATTATTATTGCTTATCACAAAAGCAGTAGCCTTGGGGAAGCCACATGATGTTTAGGAGTGAAAATGGACCAGCCAGGGGATTCACTGGTACCTGCAGCATCTTTTCTTTCCAAAATGTTTCATTCTTCCACTGAGTGGAGAAGTAATTCTTCCAAGATGGAGAAGTAAGGGTTAATTTCACACATGTGGACCCCTCCCTGTGCCCTATTGGTTGGAAGTAAGTTTCTTGCTGGCTGCAATAGTAAGGTAAAGGTAAAGGGACCCCCTGACCAGTCGTGACCAACTCTGGGGTTGCGGTGCTCATCTCGCTTTATTGGCCGAGGGAGCCTACAGCTTCCGGGTCATGTGGCCAGCATGACTAAGCCGCTTCTGGTGAACCAGAGCAGCACACGGAAATGCCGTTTACCTTCCTGCCGGAGCAGTACCTATTTATGTACTTGCACTTTGACGTGCTTTTGAACTGCTAGGTTGGCAGGAGCAGGGACCGAGCAAAGGGAGCTCACCCCGTCGCAGAGATTCGAACCGCCAACCTTCTGAACGGCAAGTCCTAGGCTCTGTGGTTTAACCCACAGTGCCACCCACGTCCCTGCTGTAATAGTAGGTATGTCTTAAATCCCAGTTGCAAAGGTGGAGGGAGCCTCTCTGTCTTAAATGCCCTGAGGTGGTTGCAGCCTTATGGCAGTTCATGGATTTGTAGGAAGTTCTCCTGTGGTTTCTCCGCTCTGGGTGCTATTTTGGGGAGAATTAGACATAAGCTTCCAATGATGTATTTTACACCCTCTTGTGTCACCTGCCACTTGCTTCTAGACCCACACTGCCCTGTTGCCACCTTCCCACCTCATGCAAGATGCACAGCTAAGAGCTGAGACTTTCCTGCCTCTTCTACTAAACACCCCCTTTACTCCTGCTGCAAACCAGCTATGTTTTTTCTGAACACCTTGCCCTTCACAGAATGAGGAGGCGTTGCAGCACTATTAATGCATGACCTATAGACCATGTATGAAGGCTTCAGGATTACTTTATGCAGATAAGAAGTTGCTTTCAGCCTGTTTCTTATTTGTTGCTTTATTGCAATTAAAACAATGTGTGTCATGCCACCGTTCCTATAAAACTAGTTTAACCAACTCTCTGCAAAGCAACACCACGAATCTCACACTCCCCTTTTCACAACTATCCATTCCTAACTCCAAACATCAACTTTTCCAACTCTCTTGACCAAAAATCGAAATTCAGCCGACTCTCAGTCCATCATCACTAAACACAACTCCAGATTCACACTCCTTCTCCCTATCTAACAATACAAAGCAACTTATACTTTACTAAGTAGTGTGAGTATTCATTACTTTACTACATGAATGTACAACTTTACATTGACATACCAGAACATCACATACGCAGAAAGCATTTAAATTTGATTTCTGCCTATAGGAACCTGTTCATCTGAAGGAAGAAGTGAACTCGAGGGGAAAACTTTCTACCCTCCATACATCTAAATGGTTTCTCCCATATGAGTCTGTAAACATTTTGTTTGTACTTTATTAAATTGAAGCACTTCAGTTTCACATGTGGTGGGGTTGCAATTTTTGGGATATAATATACGAGGAGTTGGGGGGGGAGTTTAAGCAAACCTTTATTAAAAAAAACCCATCAGCTTTCCCTTTGGGTATTTTAGATTCGGATATCCCGAACGAAAGAAAGAAAATGTTCTTATAGGCCACAATGGCAGCAAGAATATTAATAGCTAGAAATTGGAAAAGTGAAATAGTATTGTACCAACAAAAATGGAATGGCAGGATAAATTATTTGAATATCCTGAGTTGGCAAAAATGACGGATGCGATTAGGAGACAGCCTAACCAAAAATTCCAAAAGGAATGGGAAATTTATAACAAAATGAAAAAATTCCTTCCAGTAGCACCTTAGAGAGCAACTAAGTTTGTCATTGGTATGAGCTTTCGTGTGCATGCACACTTCTTCAGATAATTTATAGAGATTATCTAAAAAAAAAAAAAGTGTCCCAAAGTCAAAACCTGGATTTGCTTTGATTAATTTTTGTAAACCACACTATGGATTATTAGTATACTATGTGCATAACAGTAGAAACGAAGAAAGGATAAAGGAGCAGTTTAACAAATAGATAAAAACGACCATACTTGGAGGAAGACGGAAGTCTGTTAGAGAAGAAAAGGAATTGGGATAAAAGAAGATGGCGATATAAATCCGTACATAAGAACTTATGGATTTATGTATGTATGTTTTTTGCTTCCTTTTCTTTTCCTATCTTGTTTCGTTTGTTGTTGTCATTTTATTATTTTGGTTTTCTATTTTGTGTGTTTCTTTATTAAGTAAGAAAATTAATAAAAAGCATTAAAAATAAATAAATAAACTGAAGCACTTCCTGCACTCCTTTCATTTAAATGTTTTTCTTCTGATGAGATTTTTGTAGTTTCCACAATGACTATTTTAATGGTTTCTCCCCCGTGTGAGTCCTCTGATGGATTCTTAGTGTTACACTATAACTGAAGCTCTTTCAACACTCCACACAATTAAAAGGTTTCTCCCCTGTGTGAGTTCGCAGATGTATTCTTAGTGCTCCCTTCTGTCTGAAGCTCATTCCTCACTCCATACATTTATATGGGTTCTCCCCGTGAGTCCGTTTATGATTTCTAAGGGTTCTACTCTCGTTGAAGCTTTTTCCGCACTCCATACATTTAAAAGGTTTCTAACCTGTGTGAGTTCAATGATGTCTACTAAAGGGTTCCACTCTCAGTGAAGCAAGCTCATTCCACACCCCATACATTTAAAGGATTTCTCCCCTGTGTGAGTTCGTAGATGTATTCTTAGTGCTCCCTTCTGACTGAAGTTCTTTCCACATGCCATACTCCTACATGGTTACTCCCTTGTGTGAGTCCGTTGATGATTTCTAAGTGTCCCACTACAGATGAAGCTCTTTCCACATTCAATACATTTATATGGTTTCTCCCCTGTGTGAGTCTGTTGATGCTTTCTAAGTGTTCCACTCTCAGTGAAGCTCTTTCCACACTCCATACATTTATATGGGTTCTCCCCTGTGTGAATTCGCTGATGTTGTCTCAAGTTTCCACTGTGACTGAAGCACTTCCCACACTCCATACATCTAAATGGTTTCTTCCCTGTATGAGATCGTTGATGTACAGTAAGGTATCCATTGTCACTGAAGCTCTGCCCACACTCCATACATTTATATGGTTTCTCCCCCGTATGAATTCGTAAATGTGTTGTAAGAGTTCCATTCCGACTGAAGCTCTGCCCACACTCCTCACATTTAAACGGTTTCACCCCAGTGTGAATTCGTTGATGTACGGTAAGATTTCCGCTTTCACTGAAGCTCTTTCCACACTCCATACATTTAAATGGTTTTTCCCCTGTATGAGTCCGTACATGTATGGTAAGTTTTCCATTTTCACTGAAGCTCTTCCCACACTCCATACATTTAAATGGTTTCTCCCCTGTGTGAGTCTGTAGATGTGTTGTAAGACCTCCACTGTGACTGAAGCTCTTCCCACATTCCATACATTTAAATGGTTTCTCCCCTGTGTGAGTTCGTTGATGTCTAGTAAGGTGTGAACACTGTCTGAAGCTCCTTCCACACTCAATACATTTAAAGGGTTTCTCTCCTGTGTGATATCGTTGATGTATAGTAAGGTGTGAGCACTGAAGGAAACACTTGCCACACTCCAAACATTTAAATGGTTTCTCCCCGGTATGACTTTGCTGGTGCACAGTAAGTCTCGAACTACAAATGAAGCACATTCCACACTCCACACATTTATATGGTTTCTCCCCTGTGTGAGTTCTCTGATGTCTTGTAAGAGTTCCATTCTCACTGAAGCACTTCCCACACTCCATACATTTAAATGGTTTCTCACCTGTGTGAGTTCGTTGATGAACGCTAAGATTTCCGCTTTCACTGAAGCTCTTCCCACACTCCATACAGTTAAATGGTTTTTCGCCTGTATGAGTTCGTATATGTATGTTAAGTTTTCCATTTTCACTGAAGCTCTTCCCACACTCCATACATTTAAATGGTTTCTCCCCTGTGTGAGTCTGTAGATGTCTTTTAAGATCTCCACTGTGACTGAAGCTCTTTCCACACTCCATACATTTAAATGGTTTCTCCCCTGTGTGAGTTCGTTGATGTTTAATAAGGTGTGAACACTGTCTGAAGCTCCTTCCACACACAATACATTTAAAGGGTTTCTCCCCTGTGTGAATTTGTTGGTGTTTTGTGAGAGATACACTGTGACGGAAGCTCTTTCCACACTCCGTACATTTAAAGGGTTTCTCCCCTGTATGAATTCGTAGATGTGTTGTAAGAGTTCCATTCCGTCTGAAGCACTTTCCACACTCCACACATTTAAATGGTTTCTCCTCTGTGTTAGTTTGTAGATGTGTGCTAAGGTGTTGACTCACACTGAAGTAATTTACAGATGGCTCCTCAAAATTCTGATTGCCTTCTGCATCACCTGGTTTAACGTGGGCGATAAGAAAATATTGTTAGGTCTTCAAGGAAGAGAACCAGAGAACTTAAGACACAGCAAGACCAATCAGCGCCTACTCTTATTTTAACACCTCCAGCGTTCCTCCCTCTACTATGTACCAAATTTTTAGGAAAGGAAAGGAAATCTGAAAATAGTCTCAAGAACCCTTAGTATCCAGTTCTACCTTCAACTCCCCCATGTAACAATGAGCACCAAGAGAAACCTTCTATGCTGAGGTGAGGCATCTATGACCCTCCAGATGTGGTTGGACTCTAAGTAGCGTCAACCCAAGTAAAGATGGCCAATGACCAGGGATGATGGGAGTTGTAGTACGGCAACCTCTGGAGGGACACACTTTCTCCATCTTACACCTCTTGTGAAATTGCTACGACTCTGTATTCAGTTTTCTCCTTCCTCCCTGATCTGTAATATCTGGCTGACACATTCCAGGAAACTGTTCACATCACCTAAACCTGCACCAGGATGCTGGAAAAGATGGGCCCTTGTTCTGATCCAAAAGGGATCTTTTTGTATTCCTACACACTGAAAGGAGACATAGAAAGTTACAGTCTCACAGCAAAGTGGAAGTATGTACCTCTCAATTGGTCCAGGACAACATCCCTGTAATTTTCTGTTCCAAGCGAGATGTGCTCAGACTTGAATATCAGAGTCTCTCCTATGTGGACTATGTAAAACATAAGTGCTGTATTAGTAGTAGTAGTAATAATAATAATAATAACAATAATAATAATAATAATAAACTTTTATTTGTATCCCGCCCTCCTCAGCTGAGACTGGGCTCAGGGCGGCTAACATCAAATATATAACATTGATATAAAATCAAACAATAATTATATTATGTCCTAAAAACAGGTCAGAATCAAAATAATTTCCAATTCGATGGCTTTCCAGAGGGTTAGCGTTGGGAACAGTAAATGCTCATCAGGCCCAACTGTGTACGCTGATCTTATATGGGCCTGTGAGAATGCTGAGAAGCCTCTTTTGTACTAGTTCTTATACAAAAAGAGAAGGAGAGTCAGGCTGAATCCTGATCAAAGGCCTGGCGGAACAACTCTGTCTTACAGGCCCTGCAGAAAGATGTCAAATCTCACAGGGCCCTGATCTCCTGTGGCATAGCGTTTCACCAGACTGGAGCCAAGGCCGAAAAGGCCTTGGCCCTGGTCCTGGCCAGCCTAATCTCCCTGAGGCCCAGGATCTCCAGGATGTTACTATTTGCAGACTGTAAGGTCCTCCGTGGGGCATACCAGGAGAGGTGGTCCCTTAGGTAGGGTCCTAGGCCCTCTAGGGCCTATAGGGCTTTAAAGGTTAAAACCAGCACCTTAAACATGATCCTGTACTCCACTGGGAGCCAGTGCAGCTGTTATAGCACTGGATGAATGTGATCCCGCGGTGAGGACCCCGTAAGGAGACTTGTCACAGCATTCTGGACCCGCTGGAGTTTCAGGGTCAGCTTCAAGGGCAGCCCCACGTAGAGCAAGCCTGGAGGTGACTGTCGCATGGATCACAGTGGCGAGATCAGGGCAAGAGAAGTAAGGGACCAACTGCTTAGCTTGGCGGAGATGGAAAAATGCCACCTTTGTTGTAGCTTCAACCTGTGCTTCCATAGCAAGAGAGGCATCAAGGATTACACCCAAACTCTTGACAGAAGGCGTTGTCACTGATTGCGCCCCCACAAGAGATAGGAGTTCGTGGTAATACAGTGGTACATCTGGTTATGAACTTAATTCGTTCCAGAGGTCCGTTCTCAACTCAAAACAGTTCTTAACCTGAGGATGGTTTGCAACCACAGATATTACTTCATATGACTCTAAAAATATACAAAAATATTAATCTTTTGAAGCAAAGACAATAAAGTATCTGCTGGCCCATTAAAAGCTAAGAAATGATGTGGACCAGGAAACCTCATACCACCATTATTAACGCGTGAGTCTCTTTGTAGAGTTTCCCTTTTTAGTTGTTTTTTTGGGAATTCATACCACAATATCAGCTTATGAAGAGTTACCTACTGACAAAAGTACAGCGTTGTGATAAACTACAATCTTCAACATCAACTTCGCTGGGCTGGTCATGTTGTTCGGATGCCTGATTATCATCTTCAAAAGCAACTACTCTATTCCCAACTTAAGAATGGAAATTGATACACCGGACAACAAAAGAGGCTTCAATATACTCTCAAGGCAAATCTAAAAAAATGAAGTATAGGCATAGAGAACACTGGCCTGCAAGAGTGCCAACTGGAAAACAGCCTTTACCAAAGGCTTCATGGACTTTGAAGAAACACAAGCTCAGGCCAAAAGGGAGAAACAAGCTAAGAGGAAAGAATGTTTGGCAAAACTTAACTGTGATTAACTCCCGCCCAGAAACCCATGTCCCCACTGTGGAAGGATGTATGGATCCAGAATTGGACTCCACAGTCACTTACGGACACACCATTAAGACCGTGTTCATAGAAGACTTGACTACAAGGATTCGCCAAAGAAGAAGTCACGCCATGAATAAATGGCTCAAACAGCAGTTTCACACTTCCAACGTCTAACAGCCAAGAGGAATAAAAATGTACCCTCACCTAGAGAGGCCGCCGTCTCATAATTCTCCTCCATGACTTCCTTGTACAGAGCTCTTTGGCCTGGATCCAGCAGAACCCACTCTTCCCCCGTGAAAAACACAGCCACCTCCAAAAAGGTCAAGAGGGCCTGGAAGAAGAAGAGGAAGAAAACAGAGCTTCTCTTAGATCCCCATCATCCCCACTCAACACAGAGGGAGGCTGGGTGGTCCCATCTGTGCCTCTTCCCTCCTCCCTGCTCCCGTTGCTCTTTCGCTACCTGAGGAAGCTGCCGGGCTCCTCTTTCCACTCCACCTCTGAGAAGAGACTGTTCAGAGGGGGTCTCGGAGGCCATTGCGTTGCCACTGGAAAGGATGGAGGAGGAATAAACTGGGCCACTTCTGGGACTCTCTCAGCTGTCGCCACAATGCATTTCAATGCAGGGAGCAGGTCTTTAAGGAGAAAAATGCAGAAATTATTATCATTATTATTACAGAATTGAATTTATATTCCACCCTATACCGGAGGTCTCAGCGGTTCATAGAAAGGCAGATTTATTTAGGGTGGGAGACATTTACACAGACAGCATACCTTATACAAATTACAAATACCAGTACTAATAAATCAATACTCATAAATTCTAATTACAAATACAAAATCCAAAAACATATTATGAAACATATATGAAATAGTTGTGTTGTTGTTGTTGTTTAGTCATTTAGTCGTGTCTGACTCTTCGTGACCCCATGGACCAGAGCACGCCAGGCACTCCTGTCTTCCACTGCCTCCCGCAGTTTGGTCACACTCATGCTGGTATAATTTATAAGCAGAGCTCTATATAAGCAGATATCACCTTCTTTATGGTGCAGCTCTCACTTCCATACATCACTACTGGGAAAACCATAGCTTTTACTATACGGACCTTTGTTGGCAAGGTGATGTCTCTGCTTTTTAAGATGCTATCTAGGTTTGTCATTGCTTTTCTCCCAAGAAGCAGGCGTCTTTTAATTTCATGACTGCTGTCACCATCTGCAGTGATCATGGAGCCCAAGAAAGTAAAATCTCTCACTGCCTCCATTTCTTTCCCTTCTATTTGCCAAGCAGGAGGGAAACTGATGAGGTGCTTTTTCATGCTTCAAGAAATGGAAAATGTTCCCCACCCCTCCAGTTTTGGGGCACAAAAGCAGCACAGCAAAACCCCCCCCCCAACATGGGAAACACAACAAGGCTCTTTCCTTTGTGCCAAAGCAACCTCAGCCGGCCAGACTAGGGGAGCTGAAAGGGGAGCTGGGGGGGGTTCCCCTTCCTTCTCACATCAGCCTCTTTCTTACTCAGGAAGCTCCGGAGGCCAATGTCAAGGGAATGTCAAGGGAACTGTCCACCTCTCACCCCCCACCCAATTCGAAATCTCCTCCCTCTCCCCCAATCCAGAGGCGACTCTGTTCTCCAGCTGCTTCCACTTCCTCTCCCCTGCTTGCCCTCCCGATCTCCGCCCCACTGAGGCAGGGGCTTCAGCAGCAGATTTCGGAGGGGGGCAGGTCAGGGTCCTGGAGGAGCTCAGCCCTCCCCTGTCGCAGGAGGCAGAGCCTGGGGGGAGCGATGGGGCGGGGAGCAGTGAGAAGTGAGATGGAGGGTGTTAAGCAGAGAGGAGCATCACTAGGCGGAATGGGGCTGCCCCCTCCCCTTTGAACGCAGGAGGACTGACCTCTGAGTCAACAGGCACAGGGTGGGGCTGCAAATCCCTTTGTAATTAAGTTGCACTGGGGGGGCACCCTTTTCTGGTTCGTCTCAAGTGTCTTCGCCCCCCTCCCCCAACCATGGGAGCCTGGCTTGATCTCTGCGCTTCGAAAAGGATCTTGCAATGCAAACCCTGTTGGGGGAGGGAGACCCCACTTTGCAACAGGATGGCCTGCATCCAGCCCCCCCCCCCATGATTTATACAGAGAAAGGGCAGAGCCCCTCCCTGCTTTCTTTGCACCCCCCCCCCGCAATCCTCCCGCCTCCTTTCCCAGCTGCCCTCTTTGTAGATTCAGGGAGAGGGAAAGCAAATCCTTTCCCCACCCACCCTCCCCAAATAACCCCCCAATATGCGGCACCTCTTTCCCCTCTTCTCCAAGTCCGCTTTTCTTCCGCGAATGATGGAGACCCCTCCCCTCCAAATAGTCTCCCTCCGCAACAGAAAAATAACTTCCTGCCTCTCTAGGAAGCGGAGCTCATTGACCCAGAGGGAGGGGGAGGGGCAGGAGATCCCCCTCCCCCTCCCTGCAAATAGGAATGCCCTTCCCAGCCGGCAAGCTCTATATTCCCATTTATTTAGTGAGAAATTCATGGGTTCAATTCCCCGCAGGGGCAGCGAAAGACAACACACACACACACACACACACACCAATTTTTGAAAAGCCTTCCCCTGGAAAGGGGTTTAGAGCATTAATGGAAGACAACCCTAAAAGGTGGTCCTCCCTGGATGGTTAAGTCCAGTCAAAGGCGACTAGCATCTCACTTTCAGGCCGAGGGAGACGGCGTTTGTCCGGTTTCCAGGTCATGTGGCCAGCAGGACTGAACCGCTTGTGGTGCAATGGGGAACCATGACGAAAGCCGGAGCGCAGGGAAATGCCGCTTTCCTTCCTGCTGCAGCAGAACCTGTTTATCTACTTGCACTGGTGTGCTTTCGAACTGCTAGGTTGGCAGGGGCTGGGACGGAACTCACCCTGTTGTGGGGATTCAAACCGCCGACCTTCCAATTGGCAAGCCCAAGAGGCTCAGTGGTTTAGACCTCAGTGCCACCCGTGTCAATACAATGCGTACCTTTTTTAAAAAGGGGGAGCTGATGGAGAAAGTTAGACTGTGTTATTGGGAGGGTACAACTCGGTGATAGAGTAGTTGCTTTGCATGCAGAAGGTCTCAGATTCCTATTTTCACGTTTGGTGGGGGTGTACCGTGGTCCATGGCTTCTGGGGAAAAGTTTTTTTATCTGACCTTCAAAATCACTAAACAATATATCCATCCTAGTTCAGCATTTGCCTTATTATAACTAGATTTGACCTCAAATCCTATGCTTCAATCTAAAGAATTAATTTCCTTTCTGTTCACAGCCGCTAGACTAGAGTTACTGCCCAACGATGGAAGGAAACCTCTAAAAAACCAGTAACAATAGAGGATTGGATTAATAAACTTTAGACCATTGCTCTATCAGATCGCCTCACATAATACCTATCCAAAAAAGATACCTTTGACACAATCTCCCTTTATTGAAGAACAGGGTATTTTAATGCCAGCATCATCATCATCATCTCGGAGGTATTTGTGGAAAAGATTATGATTGGAAATGTCTGGCCAAGCAGATCAGTAGTTGGGTTCCTATTGAGGGTGTTGGGGGAGCCAACATGACCGTGATGTGGGATTGAGGATTGGAGTGATCATTCTGTGATATTATGGCAGTGGACAAAGCCATATTTACTTTGAATAAATTAATATTGTTGTTTTAATAAAGGTCTCAAATTCAATGCTTTGCATGCAGGAGAAGATCCCAGGTGCAATCCTGGCAGGCAAAGAGACCCTGTTGGCATCCGTCTGTCTCGGGAGGCGATGGAGGAGGGGCCTTTGGGGGTGAAGTCCAACTGTGGGCAGCTTGCAGCACCTGCTGTGGCTGCTTCATGTCATGGGCAAATGCTCAATGCCGGCAGAGGGAGGAGCAGCTCCAGATGAACTCTGCTTTTGGCCTGCTATACTGCCAGCTCTTTCTACAGATTTCTGAAAGATGGGCCAATAGTAATAGCTACAATAATAATTTATTATTTATACCCTGCTCTTCTGGCTGGGTTCCCCCAGCCACTCTGGGCAGCTTCCAACAGAATAATAAAAACACGATAAAACATCAAACATCAAAAACGTGGGCACAGAGATCCCACTCTCCACAGGGAGATGACTCTCCTGAAACCACTGACAATGCCCACATTTCCCTGTGCCACCTTCCCTCCCCACCTCCTTTATTCTGGCTGCCACCAGGGATTTCTGCTGTTAATGTAGCCATGAATGAGAAGCTATTGCAAAACAATTCATAAAATATAAACAACATAGGTCAGTTTAAAGCTTACTTTGTGCACACAAGACAACCGTCCCAGTCTTTCTGTGTTTTCATTGTTCCTTTGTTGCAATTATAAAAATGGGCTTTATGCTGCTGTTCCTATAACAGGGAGCTGGACTTGACCCTTGGAGTCCCTTTCAACTCTACAGTTCTAGGATTCTAGAGCCAATCCTGCTTCCTAAACACCACTGTTGTCAGGGACATAGCCGCCCAGAACGGTGCTGAGAAGTCTGAATGGGACAAAGAGCCGGACGAGGAAAGGATGGCTTTTTCTCCTTCTCAGCTAAGAATGATCAAAGAAGAAGAAGAAGAAGAAGAAGAAGAAGAATCTGCCTTTGTAACATCTGGGTGACATTTTAAAAAATGTAAGTAAAATATTTAATATAATTATATTTATATATATTATTATAGTAGCAAGTGGGGGTAATAGGGAACTGTACAGTCATATCTCAGGTTGAAGTAGCTTCAGGATAATTATTTTCGGGTTGTGCGCTGCAGCGACCTGGAAGTAACGGAGCGCATTACTTCCGGGTTTCGCCGCTTGCGCATACAGTAAAAATGACGTCATGTGCAGAAGCAGTGAATCATGACCCGTGCAGACGCAGGTTGTGTTCGCTTCTGGATGCGAATAATAATATAGGCCTACTAATAAAGATGAATATTTTTCATCATAGGCGCCTCCACAACACAAAACACTGTTCCTGTATGTAGGTTTTATTTTATTTGTTTTTTATCTTATATTTTGGAAATGTACATCCAGGTTTCTTCCTTCAATTTTTTTCGGGGGCTCCTAGAGAGTGGGGCCCTAAGCTATACCTTATATATAAATCCGTCACTGTCTGTGAGATCGTTGATGTTTACTAAGAATTACACTCTTACAGAAGCAGCTTCCACAATCCATACATTTAAATGGTTTCTCTCTTGTGTGAGTTTGTTGATGTGTTGTAAGAGCTCCACTCTCACTGAAACTCTTCCCATGATCAATACCTTTAAATGGTTCATCCATGTACAGTAAGTATAGTGGTACCTCGGATTACAGATGCTTCAGGTTACAGACGGGTTAAGAACTTTACTTCAGTATGAGTACAGAAATCACATGGCGGGAGCGGGAGGCCCCATTAGCTAAAGTGGTACCTCAGGTTAAGAACAGTTTCAGGTTAAGAACAGACCTCCAAAACGAATTAAGTTCTTAACCTGAGGTACCACTGTATTCCATTGTGACTGAAGCTCTATGCACACACTACAGGTTTCTCTCATGTGAGTTTGTAGATGTATGGTCAAATCTGAAGGTTCACTGAAGCTCTTTCCACACGCCAAACATTTATACGGTTTCCCCCATGTATGTGTTTGTGGAAGTCTTGTAAGTTGTCCACCTTCACTGAAACCCTTCCCACAATCCATACATTTAAATGGTTTCTCCGGTGTGACTATGTTGGTGCACAGTGAGTTTCCAACTGCAAATGAAGCTCTTTCCACACTCCAAACATTTAAATGGTTTCTCCCCTGTATGAGATCGTTTATGTCTTGTAAGAGCTCCACTCTGGCTGAAGCACTTCCCACAATACAAACATCTATATGGTTTCTCCCCTGTGTGAGTTCGTTGATGTTTTCTAAGAGCTCCACTCTCAATGAAACCCTTCCCACACTCCATACATTTAAATGGTTTCTCACCTGTGTGAGTTCGTTCATGTACAGTAAGTATTCCATTGTAACTGAAGCTCTGTCCACACACCATACATCTAAAGGGTTTCTCCCCTGTGTGAGTTCGTAGGTGCGTTGTAAGAGCTCCACACTGAATGAAACCCTTCCCACACTCCATACATTTATATGGTTTCTCCCCTATATGAGTTCGTTGATGTATTGTCAGTTTTGCACCTTCACTGAAACCCTTCCCACAATCCTTACATTTAAATGGTTTCTCCCCGGTGTGACTCTGTTGGTGCTCAGTGAGTTTCCAACTACAGATGAAGCTCTTTCCACACTCCATACATTTAAATGGTTTCTCCCCTGTGTGAGTTCGTTGATGTACAGTAAGTTTTCCATTTTCACTGAAGCTCTTTCCGCACTCCATACATTTAAATGGTTTCTCCCCTGTGTGAGTTCGTTGATGTTTTGTGAGAGCTCCTCTCTCAATGAAACCCTTCCCACAATCCATACATTTAAATGGTTTCTCCCCTGTGTGAGTTCGTTGATGTTTTGCAAGAGATCCATTCTCACTAAAGCTCTTCCCACACTCCAAACATTTAAATGGTTTCTCCCCTGTGTGAGTTCGTTGATGTCTTGAAAGAGTTCCATTCTTACTGAAGCTTTTTCCACACTCCATACATCTAAATGGTTTCTCCTTTGTGTGAATTCCTTGATGTATGGTAAGTATTCCAATTTCACTGAAACTCTTCCCACACTCCATACATTTAAAGAGTTTCTCCCCAGTGTTAGTTTGTAGATGTGTGCTAAGGTGTTCACTCACACTGAAGTACTTTACAGATGGCCCCTCAAAATTCTGATTGCCTTCTCCATCACCTGGTTTAAAGTGGGAGAGAAAGATAATATTGTTAGGTATTCAAGGAAGAAAACCAGAGAAGTTAAAACAAAACAAGACCAATCAGCACCTTCTCTTCTTTTAACACCTCCAGTATTCTTCCCACTCCTATGTACCAAATTTATACGAAAGGAAAGGAAATCTGAAAATAGTCTCAAGAACACTTAGTATCCAGTTCTACCTTCAACTCCCATGTAACACTGAACACCAAGAGAAACTTTCTATGCTGAGGTGAGGCATCTATGGCCCTCCAGATGTGGTTGGACTCTAAGTACCATCAACCCAAACAAAGATGGCCAATGACCAGGGATGATGGGAGTTGTGGTGCAGCCACATCCAGAGGGAGACACTTTCCCCCTCCTGTGAAAATGCTGCACCTCTGTACCCAGTTTTCTGCTTCCTCCTTGATCTGTAATTTATTCCTGATACAGTCCAACCCACTGTACACATCACCTAAACCTGCACCAGGATGCTGGAAAAGATGGGCCCTCGTTCTGATCCAAAAGGGCAAAGGTACAGCCTCACAGCAAAGTGGAAGTATGTACCTCTCAATTTGTCCGGGACAACATCCCCGTATTTTTCTGTTCCAAGTGAGGAGATGAGCTCAGACCTGAGTATCAGACCCTCTGCTATGTGGAATAAGGAAAACAGAAGTGCTGTTTATATATATGTGACTGTAAAAATACACAGCAAAGACAGCAAAGTATCTGGTGAACCATTAAAAGTTAATAAATGATGTGGACCAGGAAACCTCATGCCACCATTATTAACCTGTCAGTCTCTTTCTATATTTTACATAGGATTTTTTTGGGGGGGTGAGGGTTTCATACAACAATATCAGCTTATGAAGAGTTACCTACTGACAAAAGTACAGCATTGCTATAAACTACAATCTTCAACATCAACTTCATTGGACTTGTCATGTTGTTCAGATGCCTGATTATCGTCTTCCAAAGCAACTATTCTATTCCCAACTTAAGAATGGAAAGAATATCAATGATTAAAATGACAGTACTTCCCCAAATCCTCTTTGTCTTTCAGACAATTCCAACAATTATTGGGACAAAATGTTTTAAAGATTGGCAGAGGGACCTGGCCAATTTTATTTGGCAGGGCAGAAAAGCAAGAATGAAATTTTAATTGTTGACGGAACCCAGAGAAAGAGGAGCGTTCGTGGTCCCGGACCTCAGAATGTACCTTGAGGCTGCATGCTGGACTTGGTTGAAAGACTGGATGCTGCTTAGGAATACTGAAGTCTTGGATTTAGAGGGCTGGGACAAGGTTTTCAGGTGGCATGGCTACTTATGTCATGATAAAATAAAAGCACAGAAAGGCTTCATGAACCACCTAGTGAGGAAGGCCTTATTCAAAGTTTTGGAGAGGAATAAATCCAAAGTTATAACAAAAAACCCTTGGTGGATATCACCTATAGAGTCAACTGCCATTCATAAGAATAACATGAATAATAACTGACCAACTAACATAGACTTGGTGGATGAAACTGAAAAGGTCTGAAGAACTCAAACAACTAGGGATAAATTGGCTAGAATATTACCAGCTTAGGGTAACCTTTGAAAAAGATAAGATGTTAATAGGGTTTGATAATAAAGCATCGATCTTAGAGAAGGAGGTTTTACAGAACAACCAAAAGACTCTCTCCAGAATGTACATGCTGTTACAGAATACTCAAATAGAAACAGAGGAAAAGGGAAAGACCATAACAAGATGGGAGCAGGACTTAGGTTATGTAATTGAACATAAAGAGTGGAAAAAACTGAGGACAAAAAATATTAATTTTAAAGCAGATTGGAACCTTCTACCATATGAAATCGGCCCTGAGTGCTCACTGGAAAGACAGATCCTGAAGCTGAGACTCCAATACTTTGGCCACCTTATGAGAAAACTCCCTGGAAAAGACCCTGATGTTGGGAAAGATTGAGGACACAAGGAGAAGGGGACGACAGAGGATGAGATGTACAAAAGGGAGAAGCAAGCTAAGAGGAAAGTACATTTGGCAAACCCTCACTGTGATTAACTCCTGCACGGAAATCAATGTTCCCAACGCAGGAGGATGTGTGGATCCAGAATTGAACTCAACAGTCACTTACGAACACACCATTAAGACCGTGTTCATGGAAGACAATCTTACTTGGCTACGAGGATTTGCCAAAGAAGATATGACATGAATAATGGCTCAAACAGCAGATTCACACCTCCAATGTCTAACAGCCAGGAGGAATAAAAATGTGCCCTTACCTAGAGAGGCCACCATCTCATAATTCTCCTCCATGACTTCCTTGTGCAGAGCTCTTTGGCCAGGATCCAGCAGAGCCCACTCCTCCTCCGTGAAAAACACAGCCACCTCCTCAAAGGTCAAGAGGGCCTGGAAGAAGAAGAGGAAGAAGACAGAGCTGCTCTTAGATCCCCATCATCCCCACTCAACACAGAGGGAGGCTGGGTGGTCCCATCTGTGCCTCTTCCCTCCTCCCTGCTCCCGTTGCTCTTTCCCTACCTGAGGAAGCTGCCTGGCTCCTCTTTCCACTCCACCTCTGAGAAGAGGCCATTCAGAGGGGGTCTCGGAGGCCATTGCGTTGGCAGTGGAAAGAACGGAGGAGGAGGAGGAGGAGGCATAAACTGGGCCACTTCTGGGACTCTCTCAGCTGTTGCCACAATGCATTTTAATGCAGGGAGCCGCTCTTTCAGGAGAAAAATGCAGAATAATAATAATTATTATTATTGATTGAATTTCTATACCACCCTATACCCAGAGGTCTGAGAGCAGTTCATAGAAAGGCAGATTTATTTAGAGTGGGAGACATTTACACAGAGAACATATGTTTTACAAATACCAATAATAATAAATTAATACTGCCAAATTCTAATTATGAAAGCTCTGGAACACTTGAGATTATCACAAAAGAAACAGAAACTATTGACTTCTGGTGTAAGTATTTGTGTACCTGTCTCTCCCCCGCCCAGACCAGCTCCCTGAAGGAGGAGGCCAAGGGAGAGGGGTGTTCCAGGCTCAGTGTGCAGAAATACACAAAAATGGGAGGCTGGGTCTTCAGGGAATATTTAATGCTGTATTGTTTTTAACACTTGATTGGGAGCCGCCCAGAGTGGCTGGGGAAACTCAGCCAGGTGGGTGGGGTATAAATAAATTATTATTATTATTATTATTTAAGATGGGGGGAATGTCACCTGGTGATTTTCAGTGCATAGGTGCCAGCTCCCCGGGTCCCTGAGCACCCACCCAATTCCCCATTAAGAGGCCAGGCACCCACATATTTCGGTGCCAGGGCAATGTACGCTGCATGGCACCCACAGCCCCGGGGACCCATAGTCGTGGGGTGAAACTGGCACAACCGGTTCAGTGTTCCAATCAGGTTGCATGGGGGGTGGGGGGAGAGCCCTTCTCTGGTTAGTTTGAGGCAGCAAATATTTTCCCCTCCCCCACAAGGAGGCTGGTTTATCTCTGCGCTTCAAAAAGGAACTTGCAATGCAAAACCTGTTGGGGGGAGGGGGACCCCACTTTGCAGCAGGGTGGCCTTTATCACGCCTCCCCCCCCCCCGCTGATTCCCACAGGAAAAGAGCGAGACCCTCCTTGCTTTCCTTTCACCCCCCCATCCTCCTTCCTCCTTTCCCAGCTGCCCTGTTTGTAGATTCCGGGAGAGGGAAAGCAAATCCTTCTCCCACCCCCCATCCCCAAATAACCCCCCGAATGAGGATGGAGACCCTCTCCCCTCCAAATTGCCCCCCCTTTGCAGCCAACTGCACATTGCCTCTCCTGATTCCCAGAGGGAAAGGGGGGCAGCCGTTCCTTGCTTTCACCCCCCCCTCACCTTTCCCCCCTCCCGCCCTGTTTGTAGATTCATGCGGAGGGAAAGCACCCCAAATCTCCCCTTCCCCCGAAATGTTGCACCTTTTCCCTCCTCCTTTGCAGGCCTCCTTCTCTTCCGGGGATGTGCATGGAGACCCCACCCCCTCCAACATTGCCTCTACCCCCCCACCCCGCCCTTCTCCGTCACTTCCTGCCTCGCTAGGAAGCGAGTTCGTTCACCCAGGGGAGGGGGAGGGGCAGGAGACCCCCCCCCAATTGGAAGCAGAGTCCTAGGAATGTAGTGGGAAGGACGCCCCCCCCCCCATGGAGCCCAGTGTCCCTCAGCCTTTTCCCGACCATGGCAGCCTCCCGACGTTCTTTCCTTCCTGTGCGCCCCCCCTTCTGCCTGTAGAAAGGTAGCTATTTAAATGTTTTGCTTGTAAATTTATAGTTTTTATTTATAAATCCAATGCGAAGCAAGGACACTTCTCTTCTTTCTTTTCTTCACTTCCCACTTTGTGGCCCCCGAGTCTCGTGCTGTGCCCCCCCCCATTTACACGATCTTCAACTGTGACCCCCTTGGAATATCCATCTCCCACCCCATTTAGAAACGCTGTTCTAGTCTTTAACTACCTGGGAGTAAACCCCATTGAATTCGGTGGGACTGACTTCTGAGTAAAACTCTTGTGCAATCCTAAGGATTTTCACTCAGAAGTCATTCCCACTGAGCTCCATAGAAACAGGTTTTCCCAACTGGCCAACCTGTTTTTCAAAAGCGAAGTCATGGACCCCCACTTTTGATATTTTCCCTATCTCTTCCATAGTTTCTGTTGTGTGAATGGTGCTGCGGACCCCCTTGGGGGGGGGGGGAAGGTTCCCTGGAGTGGGCAGACTACCTATTGGGAAAAGCTGCTTTAGCGCCCTGATTTCAGGAGCCGGACCGAACCTTTCCCCACATTGTACACCCCCGTATGGTTTCTCCCATGGGTGTCACACACCTGCTTAATTTGAGATGCTCCCACACTCCCCTGTGCCACCTTCCCAAAACATGCAGAGAGGAGTTAGGTCTTTCATGGTTCTCCCCCTTGTGATAGGAATTTTATGGTCTTAAATATATGGTAATGTTCATAAGTGTACCAGCCAAGCACATACATAGATCAGCACAGGAAGGCCAACCTGGAACCATTTTGATTCCTAAACTGACCAAATCTTTTCTCTGCAAGGTCAAAATAGATAAGCCTCCCCATTGTCTTTTCCTTCACAAATCCTGTCTTAAGGGTATGTCTGTGTTTTGAATAGGGTGTGAGCCTGTGACATGGCCCAGGAACTAAGTATTTATCATTACAAAAGACTGGCCAGGCTCCCCAGGAAATCCAATCAAGTAACCTGCCAGACAGGAGATAAACAACAACAGGAGAAAAACAATATTAAAATTTCTGTTTTAGACTGCCTTTTCTGTGATGTAGGTGTGATGTATCTGAGGGGCGGTCTTAGGTTACACCCCTTCTGTGATGTATGTATGATGTTTCTGGGGGTAGTCTTGATCTACAGGGTGGCAATTTCAAAAGTCTTTATAAGGCCTTGCACACCATTTTTCTGGGTCCCTCCTCTCTCCTGCAAGTGAGGGGAGCACCCTGTTGTAACAGATCAATAAAGGCCAAGCCTACAGGCTGCTGTTTTGCTCCAAGTAATTCTGGTTGGTGTCTTTGTGTTTTTGTCCAAGGGAGCCCTCGGATTTTTCTGTTAACAAACTAAAGGTAAAGGTAAAGGGACCCCTGACCAATAGGTCCAGTCATGGCCGACTCTGGGGTTGCAGCGCTCATCTCGCTTTATTTGCCAAGGGAGCCAGCATACAGATTCCGGGTCATGTGGCCAGCATGACTAAGCCGCTTCTGGCGAACCAGAGCAGTGCATGGAGACACCGTTTACCTTCCTGCCGGAGCGGTACCTATTTATCTACTTGCACTTTGACGTGCTTTCGAACTGTTAGGTCGGCAGGAGCAGGGACCAAGCAATGGGAGCTCACCCCGTCTCGGGGATTTGAACCACTGACCTTCTGATCGGCAAGCCCTAGGCTCTGTGGTTTAACCCACAGCACCACCCGCATCCCACTAAACACCCCCTTTATTCCTGCTGCCACCAAAGATAATGTCTTAGCTGAACATTTCGCCCTCCACGTAGCCAAGACTGGCAATTTACTTATAATAACACTATATAAGGGTTTCAAGATTACAGAAATGTACTGAGTTATTAGTTACCATGTATGTACAACCATACATGCATGGTAACTAATAACTCACTACATTTTGTATGAATTCATTCCCATTATCACTATATATGTCCAAACACAGCCTGCATCTATAGGCAATCCGTTCATGTGTTGCATCTTCTATCGTGTTGTCATGTTTTTATTCTTCCAGTTAGTTCATCAGTATCAGCCTCTTGGCAACCATTAGGGTGCAAAGAATCCATTCTTCTTGTCCTGTTGTCAATTTTCAATTCTTGAAAATTGACAACAGGATTGTTCAGCTATGATTCTGAAATCATAGGCATTGGCACTGCTGTTCACAGAAAAGGACTGGACTACATGGTTGTGAATTTTCCTCGATCTTTTAGTTTCATCTGATTTTTAACTGCTTTGAGGGTTTTGGCAATCAAGCAGTGTTTGAGTTTATGAAATAAACAAGTTAACTAAATATAACTCTGTTATTTTATCTGCCTTGTATCCAAGAAAAAGGCCCCAGGTTCACACACACCCCGGCATCTGGAAGAGGTTGCTGCTGCCAGTCAGTGGAGACATTCCTGGCCTATATTGACCAATTACCTGACTCCCTAGAACGCAGCTTCCTGTGCATTGGGGCTGCTGTTCTGTGCTTTCTGGGGGGGGGGGGGGAGGTTGGACTTTTGAGGCCCAACAAAGCATATTAATCCCAAGTCCAGGTACTGCAGTGGCTCCTGTGTGGGACCTGGGAGACCAGGGTTCAAATCCAATCCCTGGGCAACCTTGGGCCACCAGCTGTGTCTCAGCCTAGCCTACCTCACAGGGGGGTTGATGTGCGGATCAAAAGGGAGCTGCAGAAGTGTCCAGGTCACCTCTACTTCCTTGGAGGAAAGGCGAGATACAAAGCAACAATTACTTTTCTAAATTAATGTACAACTTTACATTGAAACACCAGAATATCACATACATGGAATGAAATTAAATTTGTTCATCTCAAGGAAGAAGTGAACTCGAGGGAAAAACTATGCTCCGGATAGTAGGACGTACACCCATGGGTTGAATTTACAAGAAAGGAGGTTCTGACTAAACATCAGAAAGAATTTCCTAGCAGCAAGAACAGCATGGATGCTTTAGTTGAGATTCCTGTATGGCAGTGGGTTGGACTAGGTAACCTGTGGGGGCCCTTACAACTCAATAATTTGGAGATTCTATGATTTAAATGTTTTTCCCCAGGAAAGCTTCTGCACACAATGACTGGAGGAGTTTGTAAATAATACTCGTGGTTTGACTGTTGCCAGCCTGACAAGTAAAGATTTATTTTCAACCAATTGGGTAATGCAGATATTTTTCTCACAAATAGCTAACCAGATACTGTGGTCAATGGCATTAAAAGCCACTGAGAGATCCAGCACAACCAGGAAAAAGTTTTTACCTCTGTCCCTTGCCCGCCAGAGATAATCAACCAGCGCCACCAGGGTGGTCTCAGTCCAATGGCAGGGCCTGAAACCCAATTGGGACAAATGCAATCTAAATGGTCCATATCCTGCAGATATGCCTGGATTTATTCTGCAACCAAACATACATTTAAACATTTGCCAAGCTGACATACCAACTGTGTGAGAAGGACAATTGTAATTTCAAGGAAGAATGGGAACTATTTACAAACTATTTAAAAAGACAACAAAAGGATTTGGACTCCTTGGCAGGTTTTGAATAAACATCCACAAATTCATTAGTAGAACATATGATAGATAATGTACAATGATATGTACAATTTTATAACATGCAGAGAATAATATGTATAAACAAATCAAAGAGGGAGCTGAGGGAAGTCTCTGGAAGGGGGGAGAGGGAGGGAGTGGGGAAAATGTAATTAGTTATATTGATTTATAAACGTGATTAAAAGTGATTAATTTTATTTATTTTTTAAAAAGCCACTGAGAGATCCAGCAGAACCAGGAAACAGCTTTTACCTCTATCCCTAGCTCGCCAGAGATAATCAACCAGCGCCACCAGGGTGGTCTCAGTCCAATGGCAGGGCCTGAAACCCAACTGGGACAAATGCAGTCTAAATGGTCCATATCCTGCAGATATGCCTGGATTTATTCTGCAACCAAACATACATTTAAATAGTTTTTCCCATGTGAGTTTGCTGATGTCTTCTAAGCGTTGTACTACTGGTGAAGCTTTTCCCACAATCCATGCATTTAAAAGGTTTCTCCCCTGTATGAGTTTGTAGATGTACATTAAGATTAGAACTCTGAAGGAACGATTTTCCACACTCAAAACATTTATATGGTTTCTCTCCTGTATGAGTTTGTAGATGTACATTAAGATTAGAACTCTGAAGGAACGATTTTCCACACTCAAAACATTTATATGGTTTCTCCCCTGTATGAGTTTGTAGATGTACATTAAGATTAGAACTCTGAAGGAAGCATTTTCCACACTCAAAACATTTATATGGTTTCTCTCCTGTATGAGTACACTGATGCATTTTCAGCGATTCTCTATGACGGAAGCATGTTCCACACTCCATGCATCTAAATGGTTTTTCGCCTGTGTGAGTTCGTAGATGTATGGAAAGTTTTGCCCTTTCACGGAACGTCTTTCCACACTCTGTGCATTTAAATGGTTTTTCCCCTGTGTGAATTTGATTATGTCTTCTAAGCGTTCCACTCTCTCTGAAGCTCTTTCCACACTCTATGCATTTAAATGGTTTCTGCCCTGTGTGAGTTCGCTGATGGTTTTTAAGTTGTCCGCTTTGACTGAAGCTCTTTGCACACTCCATGCATTTAAAAGGTCTTGCCCCTGTGTGAGTTCGCTGGTGTATTCTAAGGGTTTGACTATGACTGAAGCTCTTTCCGCACTCCATACATCTGTATGGTTTCTCACCCGTGTGAGTGCGATGATGTGCATTAAGGTGCTTACTCAAAAGGAAGCTCTTTCCACACTCCATACATTTAAATGGTTTCTCACCAGTATGAGTGCGATGATGTGCATTAAGGTGCTTACTCAAAAGGAATCTCTTTCCACACTCCATACATTTAAATGGTTTCTCACCAGTATGAGTGCGATGATGTGCATTAAGGTGCTTACTCAAAAGGAAGCTCTTTCCGCACTCCATACATTTAAATGGTTTCTCACCCCTGTGAGTTTGCTCATGTATACAGAGGCATCCACTTTTTTGAAGCATATTCTACACTCAAAACATTTATATGATTTCTCTCCTGTATGAGTACATTGATGCATTTTCAGCGAATCTGTACGACCAAAGCATTTTCCACACTCCATACATTTAAATGGTTTCTCCCCTGTGTGAGTTCTCTGGTGTCTTCTAAGCGTTCCACTTTTTGTGAAGCTCTTTCCACACTCAATGCATTTAAATGGTTTCTGCCCTGTGTGAGTTCGCTGATGGTTTTTAAGTTGTCCGCTTTGACTGAAGCTCTTTGCACACTCCATGCATTTAAAAGGTCTTGCCCCTGTGTGAGTTCGCTGGTGTATTCTAAGGGTTTGACTATGACTGAAGCTCTTTCCGCACTCCATACATCTGTATGGTTTCTCACCCGTGTGAGTGCGATGATGTGCATTAAGGTGCTTACTCAAAAGGAAGCTCTTTCCACACTCCATACATTTAAATGGTTTCTCACCAGTATGAGTGCGATGATGTGCATTAAGGTGCTTACTCAAAAGGAATCTCTTTCCACACTCCATACATTTAAATGGTTTCTCACCAGTATGAGTGCGATGATGTGCATTAAGGTGCTTACTCAAAAGGAAGCTCTTTCCGCACTCCATACATTTAAATGGTTTCTCACCCCTGTGAGTTTGCTCATGTATACAGAGGCATCCACTTTTTTTGAAGCATATTCTACACTCAAAACATTTATATGATTTCTCTCCTGTATGAGTACATTGATGCATTTTCAGCGAATCTGTACGACCAAAGCATTTTCCACACTCCATACATTTAAATGGTTTCTCCCCTGTGTGAGTTCTCTGGTGTCTTCTAAGCGTTCCACTTTTTGTGAAGCTCTTTCCACACTCAATGCATTTAAATGGTTTCTCCCCTGTGTGAGTTCCTTGATGTTGTGTAGGAGTTCCATTCCTACTGATGTCCTTTCCACAATCCATACCTTTAAATGGTGTCTCCACTATTTCAGTTCCTTGATGTGAACTAAGTGTGTTCACTGACTGAATCACATTGTATGTTCCACAAATTTAAATGATTTTTTCGTGATTCCTAATGAAAGTACAGATTGCTCTGTCTGTCCTCTCTATTGCTTGCATTGGCGTAGGGGGAAAGGAAATCCTGTAGAAGAGAAGAAGAGTTTGGATTTGATATCCTGCTTTATCACTACCCTAAGGAGTCTCAAAGCGGCTAACATTCTCCTTTCCCTTCCTCCCCCACAACAAACAGTCTGTGAGGTGAGTGAGGCTGAGAGACTTCAAAGAAGTGTGACTAGTTCAAGGTCACCCAGCAGCTGCATGTGGAGGAGCGGGGAATCAAACCCAGTTCACCAGATTACGAATCTACTGCTCTTAACCACACTGGCTCTCCAAAGAAGAAACAAAAGAATATAACACACATCAAGTGCCTTTGGTACCTTCTCTTATTTTAACATCTCATACACTCTTCCTTCTTCTATGTGCCAATTGTTTAGGAAATGAAATAATGTCAGATAATAGCATTGCATCAACTTTTAATAATAATCAATTATTGTTAATAATGCAGCATGATCTAAGATACAGTGCTTTTCTAAAACTGGCAATTTAAATAAAGAGGTTCCTCACAGGAAAGGGAGCTGCTCTCCCTCCATGAACATGCCCTTTATTTCTCAGGTTCAGAATTCCTAATGACTTTTTTGTCCTAATCCCTTAAATGTTTGGTTGCAAGTCTCTTTGGGTAAGATAAAGTGACTAACAAATTCAATTAATCATAATAATGGACTACAACAGACATGTTCATCCGGTCGAGCGGGATCGACCAATAGATCATGTGAGTGATCCTGGCTGATCATGGGATTACTGGGATAGGCGTCAGTTGTGCAGCTCCCTTTGATGGGGAGGAGAGAGAAAGGGCTGGCTTTGGGGGGGAGAGAGCTGCTTAAGGGGGAGGGGGCTGGCTTGGGAGGGTGGAGAGATGACTGGCTCTTCAGAGAGAGAAGTTTTGCCTCCCTTTAATCCCCCCCAACTGAAACTCCCCCCTCCTGCATCCAGTTAGCCACCTCCTTCCACCCACGCACTCCACTCCTCATTCCCCCAGTGACTATGGGTAGATCACTGCCAGTTTTTTATACTGGGAGTAGATTGCAGTCTGTTGGGAGTTGGACATGCCTGGACTACAGGAACCCCTGAATTTCAGTAGCAATCTTCCCGATCCCTTAAATCCCAAAGACATGAGAATAAAGATAGTGGTTAATACTGGAAATCTGGTGGAATGGAGAGGAGGAGTGGGATGTAGTTATCACTGCGTAAAGGTAAAAAAAAGATACTCTGCCTACAACCTTCATAGCAAAGGGCAGGGAAGGGCGGACTGGAGGCAATGTCTCTCCACAGAAACATGGGTAAATGGATGAAATTGCAGAAGACAAGCCAAAATTGGGTCATCCTCTCAATCCAGCAGGGCTTTTGATATATTTTTACGTAGTGAAATGTCTCACTGCATACTCAAAGGGCTTACCTCTCAATTTCCCCTTCACGTTTCTGTATTTTTCTTTTTCTAGCAAAATGTGCTTAGTCTTGTGAGTCAGAGTCTCTCCTGTGTGGAACAAGTAAAAGAGAAGTGCCGTTTATGTCATATGTAACTGTCAAAGTCTTCAGAAACATTCATCTTTTGAAGCAAAAACAATAAAGTTCCTGGTGGCCCATTGGAGGCTAATAAACCGCAGCATCAGCTCACGAAATGTTACGGACAAAATTACAGCATTGCTATAAATGATAATCCCACCCACTCCCTTTCTCTCATACACAGTGTTTGTGGAATTCTGCACTCTCACACACCTCGCCTGTAATACTGGCAATCCTTGGCCTGCATATGCACATGAATGTGTGTAAAGCCTCCAGTCACAAGCATTGTCTATCCTAATAATGGACCCTTTGTCCTTTTAAGCACCCCAGACTGTGAAGGTGCACACATTTACTGTCTTTGGGTGCTGATGGATTGTGTCTCAGCTTGTAACTCCCTTTGACATATAGAAAGGTATAGAAAGGCTGTCCATATATCTATTATACACAAATCCTGAAAGAATTTCCATAGCACCTCCAGCCATGTTTTTTTGAGTAGTGGACCACATTATCACCTCAATTAAACATGCAGTGGAACTAAGGCTTAGAAATGAAACCCTGGGAAAGGCAGACGGGTTTTTTCTGTCCTTTCGTGGAAGAGGATACCAGATGCAAAGACCCGCTCTGGACAACCCTCTCTCCTTCCTCTCAAGAGCTTCCTGCGCTTTCCTCTTCTCTCCAGCTGGACCAATGGCCTGGCTTGGTGTAACCCAGCAGAGTCCCGCTTCTGGAGCCCCCAGCAGCAGCTGGCCTGGGGGTGGGGGAAGGAGAGTCCAGCTTCCGGGAAGGAGGGGAGGGTGGGGAATTGGACCCCCTCCCATTTTCAGGGATCCCTCTCCCCAAGGCAGGTTTCTGGGCAGGAGGGAAAAGCCAAGGCAGCCCCTCCGGAGATTCCCCCGCCAGCGACCTCCCTTCCGATGGGCAGCGTCTCTTTCTGTCTCTGCACCCGCTGCCAATGCTGGACGGGGCTTTCCTCCCCCAGGGAGGCTTCCCTCCCTCCCCAAGTTCCCCTGCCCCCTCCGTCCCCAGTCTCTCCTGCGCCCAGAGACCCCCTTGGCACGGCTCACCCCTCGCCCTGCGCGCAGAATCTCCCTCGAGCGCACCGACCTCTCCATCCAAGACGCGCGGGGTGGGAGGGAGGAGACGGAAGTTGGTGAGGGAGGGTCTCTTCCCAGGCCTGTCTAGGCATCTCGGCTCTCTCGCTTTCATGGACTCTCCATCTCTCCCGTCAAAAGAGGCGCGCCCCGCCAAGAGCGCCCCGAGGGATTCCTGCCAGGGGGAAACGGGGACGCATCCCGAGGGGCGCTTGTTTGGTGGCCTCGGTTGAACCCCCAGCCCTGTTTGGGGATGGGGGCCCTTATAGCGACGCCCTTGGCGGCCATCTCAATTCCATTCCTGCAAAGGTGCCCAAGGGGTGCAGGGCACCTGAGCATCGCTTGGCCGGCCAGATGGGCAAGATGATGATAATGATGATGATAATAATGATAATTTTATTGTTTGTATGCCACCCACCTGAATGGGTTTCCCCAGCCACTCTGGACGGCTGCAAACAAACCAAAAAGCAAAAACTTCCCTAACTAGGCTGCCTTCAGATATATTTTAAGAGGGTGCCACTACCGAGAAGGCCCTCTGTCTGGTTCCCTGTAACTTCACTTCTTGCAGTTAGGGAACCACCAGAAGACCCTTGGAGGAGGACCTCAGTGTTTGGGCTGAGCAATGGAGGTGGCCGTTTAAGGCTTTAAAGGTCAGCACCAATATTTTGTATTGTCCTCAGAAATGTACTGGGTGCCAATGAACTTCTTTTAGGACTGGTGTTATATGGTCCCTGAGGCCGCTCCCAGTCACCAGTCTAGTTGCCGCATTCTGGATTAGTTGCAGTTTCCGTGTCACCTTCAAAGGTAGCCCCACGTAGAGCCCATTGCAGTAGTCCAAGGATAACCAGAGCATGCACCACTCTGGCAAGGCAATCTGCAGGCAGGCAGGGTCTCAGCCCTTAATTTATTTTTATTATTAAACCTTTAGAAGACATCTGAAGGCAGCCCTACATAGGGATGCTTTTTAAGGTTTAATGTTTCATTATGTATTCATAAGAGGCTGGGTTGAAATAAATTGTTCTTGTTGTTGTTCTTACACCTTTTAAGGAGAAAAAGAAACGTGTGTGATTCTTCAAAGGAGATGGTGCATTGCAGACCCTGCAGTTGTGGGTTCCTTACTTGGCAACTGGACTGCGTGCATCCAGGTCCCTGCTAATGGGTCCCAGAAGAGGTGCTTTTTGGGGGGGGGGGTGGAGAAGTCCCTTTGTCCTTTTCTTCCCCCTCCTCCCTCTCACCACCACCTTCCCACATGCAGCATCTTATTTTTGTCCTCCCTTGCCACCCGCTTTTCCAATTCCCCTTATTGCAATTTATAGACGCGGGCAGAATGTCCACTGTCACCCCTCCTCTCCTTTCCAACGCTCCCCCTCCCCACTTCCAGGGGCTCCTTTTGTCCAATTGCCCAGGAAACAACTGATTCAGGGGGAACACTTCAGGTTTGTTTTGGAACACGGGGGCCCATAGAGCTACGAGTGGGAGAGCAGGCCCTGCCTTCGTTGCACAGCGGAGGAATATTTTTGTAGAAATTTCAGCTTTTCTTAACACAGGCAAAAAGGTACTGTTGGCAGTGTTTACATAAATGCTTACAAACTCCTTTTATAAATGCTGTGATTCAAGGACTGGGAAAATGTAAGCATTTTCCCGTGACCTGCTTCCTAGAGGGAAGCAATGTTAAAAAGCGTGGGGAGAGGATGGAGCCCTGAACCACCCCCTAAGTTGAGCACCCAGGGGTCCAAACACTCAACCCCCAACACCACCTTCTGGACACGGCCCAGGAGGAAGGAGCGGAACCACTGCATAACCCTGCCCCTAACTCCCAATCCTCCGATACCGTCCACGAGGATGTGTTAGTATTTACAATGTCATTTCTTTGGGAATGTATTTCACAAAGCAGAGGTGGCATTGAGGAAATGAGGTGGCGCTTTCTTGGTTAATTCAGTTCGCTCTATCTTGACTTCTGAGAGGTGTGGGGACTCTGTGCACACAATGACTGGAGGAGTTTGTAAATAATACTCGTGGTTCAACGGTTGCCAACCTGACCAGTAGAGCTTTATTCTCAACACTGGGTAAGGTATATATTTTTATCACAAATAGGTAACCAGATACCGTGGTCAATGGCATTAAAAGCCACGGAGAGATCCAGCAGAACCAGGAAACAGCTTTTACCTTTTTGCCCGCCAGACATAATCAACCAGTGCCAGTGTTACAGAAATTACATTAAAGTTAAATGTTACAAATATTATGCCTGAATGTATCCTTTCAATGTGACAGCTCAGGGAAGTTACCTAGCTTTAAAATCAACTTCTTTGCCAGTTTCCTTCATTCCAAATCTATTTCCCTCTTCAAAGGGACTCCAGGAAGTTCCCAGAGGTGACAATTGCTGAGCTGATTGTTGGCCAAGGAAAGCCTAATCCCATCACCAAACTTGCCAAGGGGCCAGACATGCAAAGGAAGTTCTATTGTACTTTGGGCGTGGGACTTCAGAGGTGTTTGCCTGTGCTAATCTTATACCTGGGTCTTGCCCTGACATGTCTGCTTATGCTAATCTTGTACCAAGGACTTGTCTGAACATGTTTGCCAAGGTTAAACTAGGGTAACCCCTGTCTACCCCTCCCCTTTGTAACATGTCAGTGATGTAGCAATGATGCTGTACAAACTGTATTCTGGGATATGGTGGGAAAGTTCTAAAAGTCTTTGTCACCCCATCCTCAGGGTTCAAAATTCCTCTTTGAACCTGTTGCGCAATAAACTTTGGTCTACAGCTATTTGCTCCGGTTGGTGGCTGCACTCTTCCTTTATTCCACAGGGACCCGTGGGCTCTACCTGACGAGCTGGGTTTCTGAGAAGCCTCACACCTAGATTTTTCCATAACAGCCAACAAGTCGGTCTCAGTCTGATGGCAGGGCCTGAAACCCAATTGGGACAAATGAAGTCCAAATGGTCCATATCCTCCAGATGTGCCTGGATTTATTCTGCAACCAAACATACATTCAAATTGGTTTTCCCATGTGAGTTTGCTGATGTCTTCTAAGCGTTCCACTATTAATGAAGTTCTTTCCACAATCCATGCATTTAAAAGGTTTCTCCCTTGTGTGAATTTGTAGATGTACATTAAGGCTTCCACTCTGAATGAAGCATTTTCCACACTCAAAACATTTATATGGTTTATCTCCTGTATGCGTATATTGATGCATTTTCATCGATTCTCTCTGACTGAAGCATTTTCCACACTCAAAACATTTATATGGTTTATTTCCTGTATGAGTATATTGATGCATTTTCAGCGATTCTCTATGACGGAAGCATGTTCCACACTCCATGCATTTAAATGGTTTTTCCCCTGTGTGAGTTCGTAGATGTATGGAAAGTTTTGCCCTTTCACAAAAGGTCTTTCCACATGCCATACATTTAAATGATTTTTCCCCTGTGTGAATTCGCTTATGTCTTCTAAGGTTTCCTCTACAATTGAAGCTCTTTTCACACACTATGCATTTAAATGGCTTCTCTTCTGTGTGAGTTAGTTGATGGTTTGTAAGGTTTCCACTATCACTGAAGCACTTTCCACATTCTATGCATTTAAATGGTTTCTCCCCAGTGTGAATTCGCTGGTGTCTTTTAAAGTTTCCACTCTGACTGAAGGTCTTTCCGCACTCCATACAACTAAATGGTTTCTCACCAGTGTGAGTTCGATGATGTGCATTAAGGTGTTTACTCAAAAGGAAGCTCTTTCCACACTCTATACATTTATATGGTTTCTCCCCCGTGTGAGTTCCTTGATGTTTTGAAGGAATTCCACTCCCACGGAAGTCCTTTCCGCAATCCATGCCTTTAAATGGTGTCTCCACTGTTGCAGTTCATTGATGTGAACTCATTGTGCTCCCTGACTGAATCACATTGTACATTCCACATATTTAAATTCTATCTTTTTTATTCCTAATGAAATCTCTGATGGCCCCTCCGAATTCTGACTGCCTTCTCCATCACCTGGTTGGGAGTTGGGGGAAAGGAAATCCTGTTAAAAGGGAACAAAGCAATGGCACCTTCTTTTGTGTTAACATTTGTTTAACATTTCACACATGCTCCCTTCGCCTGTGTTCCTGTTTAAAAAATGAAATCCAGCCCCCTGCAATACAGGAATCTTTTGCCCCACATGGGTCTCCAAGTCACTTCCCTGAGATTAAGAGTCTTATGCTTTACTGACTGAGCTGAGTTTAAAAGCTTTACTTCCAGGAACTTGATTTAAGTGTTACAGAAAGAGTAAACAATACATTGCCTCAGGTATGCAGGCCTCTTCTAACCCACTCTGGTCTCATTATAAGACCCTGAGGTAGCATATATTTGCCAAAAATTAGATTTTCCCCTAAAAAATAATAATCAAAATTAATTCTGCCTAGGGTTTCCCCATAGATGTTGCCAATTTAGCCAAATTCCCTCACGATGCCATTTTTACACCCCAAAACCAAGGACATCTGAGGAATTTTTCTGATATATGGGAATATATATATATATGGCTTACTAGCTGCTTTGCTTTTCAATATTCTCCGCTTGGCCTCTGTTATTTTCTTCCACCAATAGGGAACCCACTTAAGGACTCTATATGGGCTCTTGGGTACCCCATAAGGGAAGAAGGGCAGATTTTGTTTACAACAGGGGGCTACATAATTGATCACGACACAGCGTGCATACACCATTTGAATGGCAATGCCAATCAACTCGGGCGGGGGGGGAGCAGCCCCCTCAAATATTTTATGGGGAGGGGCGAAGGGACCTCGGCTCCCCGACAGCGCACAAGGTGGATACGTCCCTCCGAAAGGCCACGTTTCCCGTTCTCTGTCTCCAGCCCGCCCCCCCCCCGCCCCCGGCCAATGCTCACTGGACTTATCTTGTTCTTGCCCCGGGGATGCTTCCATGCCCCCCAGCCCCTCCCCAGCATCCTCTGCCCTCCCTGAAGCTCTCCTGCGCCCGGAAACCTCCCTTGGCACATCTCCCTCCTCGCCCTGCGCGCCAAGTCTTTCCCGAGCGCGACCACATCTCCATTCGCAGGAGCCTCGCGGGGGGGGGGGCAAGGGGGGGTCTCTATCCAGGCGTCCCTCGCGTCCTTTAACCCTTACGTGGACTCCGTCTCTGCAGCCCAAAGGGACCCCTCCCCAAGGCGCACCACGGATGCGCCTCGCAGCGCGCGCGGAGCCCGGAGCGCCCCGGGAGATTCCTGCTGGGGAGACACCGGCCGACGCATCGTGGAGGTCCGGAACCCGCAGAGGGACGCCGGGTTTGGGGTCCCGGTTCGACTTCCCTTTAGGGTGGTCGCAAGTAACTGTTCTCCCAACCCCTCCAGCAGAACTGGAACAAGTGAAATGTAGAAGGCTCACCTTCTTCCACCGCCGTTTTTTCAGGGGGGGGGGGGGTCTCTTTCGCTGCCGCTGCCGGGGATCGAACCTGCGTCCTTCTCACTAAATAAACGAGATTACATAGAGCTTTGTTTGCGGGGAATCAGGATTTCCGCTTGGGTCTATCGAGCTGCGCTTCCTAGAGAGGCAAGAGGGTTTTTTTTTTTTTTGCAGGGGGAGGAGGGATGGAAGTGGCAAAGTTGGAGGGGAGGGGGGGGTCTCCATGCAGAGCCCCAGAAGAGAAGCTGGCCGGTTGAAGGGGAGAAAGAGGTGCAGCATATTTGGGCGTGGGAGGAGGGTATAGGACTTGCTTTTCCTCCCCCTTAATCTACAAACTGGGCAGCTGGGAGGGGAGGGGAGGAAGGATTTGGGGAGGGGGGTGAGAGGCAAGTAGGATCCGTTTAGTGGGGGGGGATCCAGGCAATCCGGCTGCAAAATAGAGCCCTCCCCGCCCCAACAGGGTTTGCATTACAAGATCCTCCTTGAAGCAGAGAGATCAAGCCAACATCCCTAGGGGATAGGAGGGGGCGAGGTGGGGGGCTGCCTGAGACGAATCCGCCCTCATGCAACCTAACTGCAAATAGGCTTGCAGCCCCATCCTGTGCAAGCTTACTCAGAAGTCAGTCCTACTCCATTCAAAGGGGTTGCAGCCCCATTCCACCTAGTGATGCTCTGCTGAACAGCCTGCATCTCCCCTCTCACCACTGCCCCCTCCTGCCCCCCCACCCCCTCCATTGCTCCTTCCAGGCTCTGCCTCAGTGGGCTCCTGGTAGAGCCGGCTGCCCATGGCGGAGATCGGGAGGGCAAGTGGGGGAGGGAGTCTGCTTTGGTGCAGGGGAAACAGCTGGAGAACAGAGACAATCCTTTTGATTCGGAGAGCGGGAGCAGATCTTGAAGTATGGGGGGGGTGAGAGAGAGAGGGACAATGTTAAGGGAAATCGGCCTCTGGAGCTTCCCTAGTAAGAAAGAGGCTGATGTGAGAAGGAGGCAAAAGGAAACAATAATTTGCCTATTGAGAAGGGGAAGCGAATTCCAGATGATGTCTACCTTTGCTTAATATTTGTACCCCGTCAAAGGTATGCCATCTGTGTAAGGTCCCGGGCCACAGGGAGGTTAGGCTGGCCTCAACCAGAGCCAGGGCTTTTTCGGCCGTGGCCCCGATCTGGTGGAAGGCTCTGTCACAAGAGACTAGGGCCCTGCGGGACTTGATATATTTCCGCAGGGCCTGCAAGACAGAGCTGTTCCACCAGGCCTTTGGACAAGGCACAGTCTGACCCCCTCCTTCTGTAATCCTCCCAGAACTCTTGTCCAATGGTTGCCATGAATTTGATTTTGATTTGATTTTGAATTGATTTTGAAATGAATTGATTTTAGAATGTTGTGTTACTTGTATTGTTAGCCGCTATGAGCCTGGCTTTGGCTGGGGAGGGCGGGATATAAATAAAGTATTATTATTATTATTATTATTATTATTATATATCTCCCACCCTTAATAAATCTGTCTTTCTCCATTGATCACATCAAAGACCTGCTCCCTGCTTTGACGTGCATCTTGGCAACAGGTGAGGGAGTCCCAGAAGTGGCAGCGCAATGGCCTCCGAGACCCCCTCTTGGTCTCTTCTCAGGGGTGGAGTGGAAAGAGGAGCCCGGCAGCTTCCTCAGGTAGGGAAACAGCAATGGGAGTAGGGAGGAGGGAAGAGGCACAGATGGGACCACCCAGCTTCCCTCTGTGTTGAGTGGGGATGATGGGGATCTAAGAGCAGCTCTGTTTTCTTCCTCTTCTTCTTCTTCCAGGCCCTCTTGACCTTTGAGGAGGTGGCTGTGTTTTTCACGGAGGAGGAGTGGGCTCTGCTGGATCCTGGCCAAAGAGCTCTGCACAAGGAAGTCATGGAGGAGAATTATGAGATGGTGGCCTCTTTAGGTGAGGGCACATTTTTATTCCTCTTGGCTGTTAGACGTTGGAGGTGTGAATCTCCTGTTTGAGCCATTTATTCATGCCATGTAGGAACAAGCAGTAGCCATCGATAGACCTCTCCTACTCAATGCATTTGTCTCATATTCTTTTCAAGCCACCCAAGTTTGTGGCCATCACTGCCCCCTGTGGGAAATTTCCCTAGTTTAACTATGCACTGTGTGAGGAAGGACCTTCTTTCATCTGTCCTCAACCTTCCAACATTCTGTCATGTGACAAAGACACATGAGGGCAGAAGCAGCAAAGCAGGCTGGGAAGTGCAATCATTTGGGCCTACTAAAGTTATTCAGGCCTAACTGCTAACTGCTGAGTCACTCCGACATGTGACTCATTCTCCTCCTTATAAGTAGCAGCCATTTTCTCCCTGTGTTCTCTGTAAGATTTCAGTCAGAGTCAATCTGCCTCAGTTGTGAGCAGAGTCAATATGTAATTTCAGTCAAACTGTTTGGAACCATGTTGTTTATGTAGAAGTTTATTTTAACTCAGTAAAGCTCTTATTCTTTCACTTAAAAACTCTGCATTATTAATTTACGCTGCGCGTCACATTCGGCATAAAGGAGTCGCTCCATCCCCATTTTAAATAAAATTATTATTATTATTTTTTAAATGATATTTATTGAGAATTTTAAAGGTACAAAGAAAAAAGAAAGAAAAAACAAGAGAAAGAGAGAAAGAAAGAAAAAGGTAGATAAAAGTAACAATTAAACAAAAAAATCAATAAAAACCAAAGTCAAAAAGAAAAAAACAAAACACACAATGCATCAAAATCAAAAAGCAAAAATAAACAAAAAATTTAAAAACAAATCCAATATTCCCAAATTCTTAACTTTCATTAACTTATTTCATCGACCTCCTCACACCTCCCTTTTTTGTATTCTAGTTGTTAATTATCTCAGCAAATCCTTTCCATCTTTCACAATATTCTGTCATTAAATTACCTTAATCTATTTTAACCTTATCTTACCATAAAAACCCTAAAACTTAAAACTTAAATCTTATTTATACCAAATTCTTTTAACCATAACATATTCTTACTTAACATTTCTGCTAAAGCCAAATAATTTCATTCCAACATTTTTCTAATACTCATTAATTTTACGATACTTTTCTAAATAAATTTTTAAAACTTTCTTCCAATCTTCATCCATCGTCTCTTCTTCCTGGTCTCGGGTTTTGTCAGTCCTTTCTATCCCATCCATCTAGTCCATCAACCTGGTGACCTTATATCCGAGGCTCTTAAGTCTTTTCCATGTCCCTTCCGCAGGTCTTCTTCATGTTTATACCTGTACTTTACTTTGTCTTCTGCTCCTTTCACTCGTGGAGACTCCAGCTTGACAATATTTTTCTCCTTTCTCGACAAGTCAGCCCCTTTTCCATAGTCAACACTGAAATCCATGTGGTATTTAAAGGCATGTTTCAAAGTCCCTCCAAAGTTAAGGACCCCACAACTCTGAACTCCCCCCGGCCCAAAGCCAGACTTGAAAGGTCAAAACTTCCCTGCATAGGGGGATCCATCCAGCCCCCCATCTCCAAGCCAAACAGAACTCCATCTCTCCAAATCTGACTTTTTCCAGGTTCATTCGTCAAATCCAACAACTCATGTTCCTGCTGGGCCACAGCTCCCTCCATCTCTGCCACCTGAGGTCCAGCAACAACCTCCTCCCTCATCTGATCTGTCAAAGCACATTCCTGGATTAATTCCTGAGTGGGTTCTATATAGGTACCCATTGCCTGTCCAAAATTTCCGATCGCAACAGTCATCAAATCCATCTTCTCATGTAACTGTTCCAATAAAGCACTTGTCTTGCAAAAGGCAAGCACCAAAGCCTCTGAGCACATTCTTGTTCAAGGTCGAAGTCTGGTCCCACGATCTTTAATCTCTACAGCTGCAAAGCTCCCCAGTTCGACTTTAATAACAGTTTCACAAGCTCCCTCTAGGGGAAACAATTTCTATTTGTATCCATCTTTTTTTTTCTTTTCTTTTTTATATGATATTTATTAAAATTACAAAAGAAAAAGATTACGTTAATAAGAAAATTAACAATAAAAAGGAAAAATACAAAATACAAAAAAAAAGCAGTTAAAAACAATTCCATCTTTTCATCACTTCTTTTACATTTACTTGTTTCCCGGACCTCCTCATACCTCCCTCTTTTGTATTCTAATTCAATTTGTTAGTCCAGCGATTCCTTTCCCTCCTTTTTAATCCTGATCTTTAATCTTGATATATTATAACATTAATTTTTTAGATATTAAAAACCAATTTTTCCTTATTCTTTTATACCATTACCGCATGAAACCACTTAACTTCAATCCGTCATCATTCTAACATTCATTAATTTTACAATATTTCTGTAAGTAATCTTTAAATTTCTTCCAATCTTCTTCCACCGACTCTTCTCCCTGGTCTCGGATTCTGCCAGTCATTTCCGCCAATTCCATATAGTCCATCATTTTCATCTGCCATTCCTCCAGTGTGGGTAGATCTTGTGTCTTCCAATGTTTTGCAATAAGTATTCTTGCTGCTGTTGTAGCATACATAAAGAAAGTTCTATCCTTCTTTAACACTGATTGGCCGACATCTTTTCTTTTTAAAGCAGATCTAGCAACAAAGTTTTCCTTTTTCTGATATTTTGTCGATATTTTGTTCCTTTTAAATGCGAAAGGGAACAATGGAATCAATATGTTTCTCTTCTTTTAACTATCTGTCAAAAACGTTTGTCCATAGTCAATGAACTTCCCCAAAACGTCTGTCCTGACACCCCGCTCCCAGGTTCAAGACGGTGGAAAATTACCTTTCTTTACTCTCTCTTCTGCAGGTTTAAACAGTCTAAAAAGGTTCCCCCTCTTCTCCTGCTTCCAAGGGGGGTTCAGTAATTTTAAATGATGAAAATTTAATCCTTTACAAACGACTTTCTAAACTCTAGCTTGCCATGTCTTTGCTTCAATCTATCTACAAAAGCGGAAAGCGGACTTCCTGTTTAGACCTTCCCGCTTTTGGTGCCTAATTAAGAAATTTCATAGTCCAATTTTCTGTTCTACTCACGGGCAGTTGTTTGAAATCCAATTGTCCACAGGAAAAGTCAGCACTCTCCGGCAACAGCAATGCGGCTTCACTCCGTGAAAGAAGCAGTCGATTCAAAGCACCGCGCCACTCACCCCACGTCGCTCCGGATCCCCAAAACAGGGTTTCCCCGCGAGTAGGGGAGGCGCAAAGGGTGCCAGCCGAATCCCACGTCCACAGGCTTCTCCCGCCTGTGGTTTTTGATGGGTCTCTGCCTCGCCGTGGCGGTTCAGACCCTATTTTCCACGGAGTGGATTCCTCCCGATCGGAGGAAATCCGCCATTGCCAGAGGCGCCAACCCGGAAGTCCCCCCCCCCCCATTTTAAATAAAATTACAGTGGAAGGAAAAGAAATAGAAAATCTGAAAGAAATCAGGGGATGATTTGTGAATTTTTATAGACAGCAAATTTTTTCAGCAGGGGGCCAGTCCACTGCCCCTCAGACCTTGCGGGGGGCCGGACTATACTTTGGGGGGAAATGAACAAATTCCTATGTTCCACAAATAACCCAGAGATGCATTTTAAATAAAAGGACACATTTTACTCATGTAAAAACATACTGATTCCCGGACCGTCCGTGGGCCGGATTTAGAAGGCGATTGGGCTGGATCCGGCCCCCAGGCCTTAGTTTGCCTACCCATGGCTTAGAATCATAAGAGTTAGAAGGGATCCCACAGGTCATCTAGTCCAGGGACAGATGTCAAATTAACCAGCCTGTCACTTCCATTCCCTTTTTCTAAAAAATAAAATGAAAAATTATTCCATTGGCTACTTTCCAATCCTCAGATATGTCCAAGGGACAAATTACATACCGAATATAAGCCGCACTCGCAAATAAGCCGCACGTTTAAAATTCATGGGGTGGGGAGGAAAAAAGACAATACCCAAATATAAGCCGCTCCCTTAAAATTCAGCAGGCACTCACACACGTTCCGTTTTACCGTATGTCTGTTTCAGCTGCATTATCGCCATTTTTGTAAGATTGCAAATTTAAGCCGCACTTTAACTTTTCACTGTCGGAGTGGGGGAGTGCGGCTTATATTCGGGCCAATATAAGCTCCTGAAAAAGGCTAACTACAGTGGTACCTCTAGTCATAGCTGTCAAGTGTCCCTTATTTGAAGGGACATTCCCTTATTCCAGCGCCATGTCCCGCTGCTGTCCCTTATTAATAGATGTCCCTTGAATGTCCCTTAAATGATGTCCCTTAAATTTCAAAGGAAGCAGCTCCTCTCCCTCCCTCCGTGCCGGCCAGGGAGGAGGGAGGCTCCAACTGTGTTGCTTGGCTGTGTTGAACACCCAATAAGAAGTCTAAGAATGACTGGGGGGTGGAGCTTGCATGTCTTGTGTGTGGCTAGTTAATGCAAGCTGAGGGGTTTTTTGAATGCTGGATGCCATTTTGTTGCACGTGCTGCTGCAAACTTTGCAGTGCAAAGCCAGGCCGGGGAGACATCTTAAGTTGAGGCTGCATAGGCCTTGAATAGATTCTATTCAGTTGAACCTCTGGTTACAAAGTTGGTTGGACAGTGTTCTCGAAGCTACCAGCATGAGTTTGACCAGACTGCAGGAGGACAGGAAGACTGGAGTGCCTGGAACAGGTGAGGCTGCAGGTCCCTTATTTTGGCTGCTGGTCCCTTATTTTCAAGGCTGCTGGTCCCTTATTTTCAAATCTGTAAGTTGACAGCTATGCCTCTAGTTATGAACTTAATTCGTTCCAGAGGTCCGTTCTTAACCTGAAACTGTTCTTAACTAGAGGCGTGCTTTCGCTAATGGGGCCTCTTGCTGCCGCTGCACCACCAGCACATGATTTCCGTTCTTATCCTGGGGCAAATTTCTCAACTTGAGGTAACTCTTCCAGGTTAGTGGAGTTTGTAACCTGAAGCATTTGTAACCTGAGGGGTTTGTAACTCGCGGTACCACTGTAGTTTATTATTGTTATTTTTTTCAACACACTTTTAAGAGTACAGTCATACCTTGGGTTACAGACGCTTCAGGTTGTGCGTTTTCGGGTTACGGACGCGCCAAAACCAGGAAGTACCGGAAAGGGTTACTTCTGGGTTTTGGCACTCACGCATGCGCTAAATCACACTTTGCGCATGCGCAGAAGCGCCAAATCGCAACCCGTGTGTGCGCAGATGGGTTGTGAACACTGTGGGTTGTGAACGTGCCTCCCGCATGGATCACGTTCGCAACCCGAGAGTCCACTGTACCTGTTTCCCTGGAGTTTCTTACTTTAGTTTAGCATGGGTCAGTGACAAATTTTCAAGTGAAGTATCTGGTCCGGATATGTGATCCCTTTTCATTGGATCATTGAAATGTAGAGTTGGAAGGGACCCCAAAGGTCATCTAACCCAACCCCCTGCAATGCAAGAATCTCAACTCAAGCATCCATGACAGATGGCCACTCAACCTCTGCTTAAGAACATGCAAGGAAATAGAGTCCATAACCTCCAGAGAGAGACTGTTCCATTGTCGAACAGCTCTTACCATCAGAAAGCTCTTCCTGATGTTTAGTCGGAATGATATTATTATTATTTTGTATCTTGGATTTGAGGTCATAGGTATACGCATTGATTTGAAATGGCTTTATATTTTGTGGCCCAAAGTAACTAATATTGTCTCTTTCCCTGAAAGAATCAGACCTCAACTCCTGTTGGGAAGAAAGACAAGATCCATTTCTCCAGAATCCCAAAGAAGGGGAGATATCAGCAGGTAGGTGCTTAGTTGAGACTGTAGGATATTCAGAAGCTAACTTCAGATGTAGCTGAGGAGGGAGAGAAGTAGGGAGACATGCTTGAAAATGGTAAAATCAGAGAAGCTGAGAACTGGGCCTGACCTACAATGAGAGTCTCTGCTTTACCTTGCAATTTGAATGGCATTTTCTTTTTCTGCCTCAAAACAGGTAATGGGCAGAAGAGTGAGAAATATGATGAGCCATTCATGGTGTCTGTAGAAAACATGGAGCATGAAGCACAGAAAGAGACCTTTGTAAATCAACAATCAACCAAAAAGTATGTAGGAAATACGTGGGAGAACTGGAAAAATAACTCCCTTACTACTCAGGATATTGGTGTCCATGTATCCCTGAATCCACAGGAAGAATGCTCAGGAAGTAGCAGTGTAGAGTGTGGAAAGAGCTTCAGTCAGAGTGGAAGCGTTAGTTTACATCAAGGAACCCAAACAGGGGAGAAAATGTTTAAATGCACGGAGTGTGGAAAGAGCTTAAGCAGTGCTGGTAACCTTGTCAAGCATAAAAAAACCCACACAGGGGAGAAACCGTTCAAATGCATGGAGTGTGGAAAGAGTTTCAGCCAGAGCGGAAACCTTATTGCACATCAAAGAACCCACACAGGGGAGAAACCATTTAAATGTATGGTGTGTGGAAAGTGTTTCAGTCTTAATCACCATCTTACATTACATCAAAGAACCCATACTGGGGAGAAACCACATACATCCACGGAGTGTGGAAAGAGCTTCTGTTCGAGTAGTGTCCTTATTGTGCATCAAAGAACCCACACCGGGGAAAATCGATCTAAACCTATGTTGTGTGAAAAGAGTTTCAGTCTCAATCACCATCTTACTTTACATCAGAGATCCCACACTGGGGAGAAACTGCATAAATGCAGGGAGTGTGGAAAGAGCTTCAGTCATAGGAGTAACCTTAGTTTACATGAAAGAACCCACACTGGGGAGAAACCATTTGAATGTATGGTATGTGGAAAGAGCTTCAGCCAGAGTGGAAACCTTACTGCCCATCAAAGAACCCACACAGCAGAGAAACCATTTCAATGTATGGTGTGTGGGAAGAGTTTCACTTTTAGTCACTCTCTTACTTTACATCAAAGAACCCACACTGGGGAGAAACCGTTTGAATGCATGGAGTGTGGAAAGAGCTTTAATTGTAGGAGTGCACTTACTGTACATCAAAGAACACACACTGGGGAGAAACCGTATGAATGCATGGAGTGTGGAAAGACCTTTCGTCGTAGGAGTAACCTTACTTTCCATCAAAGAGCCCACACCGGGGAAACCATTCAAATGTATGGAGTGTGGAAAGAGCTTCAGACATAGCGGAAGCCTTACTGCACATCAAAGGACCCACACTGGGGAGAAACCATTTCAATGTATGGAGTGTGGAAAGAGTTTTAGTCTCAATTATTATCTTACTTTACATCAAAGAACCCACACTGGGGAGAAACCATTTTTATGCATGAAGTGTGGAAAGAGCTTCACTTGTAGGAGTGCGCTTACTGTACATCAGAGAACCCACACTGGGGAGAAACCGTTTGAATGCATGGAGTGTGGAAAGGGCTTCACTTGTAGGAGTGGACTGACTGTGCATCAAAGAGCCCACACAGGGGAAAAACCATTTCAATGCCTCGAGTGTGGAAAGAGCTTCCGTCGTCGGAATAACCTTACTTTACATCAAAGAACCCATACAGGGGAGAAACCATTTAAATGTATGGAGTGTGGAAAGAGCTTCAGCCAGAGTGGAAACCTTGCAACACATCAAAGAACCCACATAGCAGAGAATGGAGCATGAGAAGAGCTGCAATGTACTATGATGTAAGGTTTTCTTCCTGCTTGGTGAGAAAAAACCGTCAACAGTGAAGCCTAATGGAACCGAACTGCCAAAAGTACAATGTATGGCAGCGCAGCTATGTTTCATCTTAGAGTTATGCAAAGTAATCAATACACATTCATAGCCGCCATAATTGATTATAAGGGGGAAAGAAGAAATTCCTAGCACTGCTATGTTAAGTGCCTGAGGCAGTATCCTCACTCTGCCTAATGTTTGGGCTGGCCCTGTTTGAAATTTGGAATGGGGCACAGATTTGGTGTAAATCCAAGTGGTGGAAAAGGAGATAAGACAAAGCGTAGCTCCTTGGTCAGAGGTGTGGCTAAAGACACTGTTCTACTGCCATCACCCTTTCCTTTAAGGAAAATGGTCACGTATCTCCGGTATCACAAGGCGACTACAAGCAACGATCGATTGACTTGCATTTGATATGAGCATCGTGCATCGTGACAAGCCGGAAGGGGGCAGATTGGGGAGGGGGCAGGCTTATGAGTGCTTCACCATCATACGCCAATTGCGGGTGGCTTGTATTTGGGGTCTTCTGGTGGCTTAGGATGTCTACTTGGGAAATGTGATATATTTGACTTTGACTCTACATGTTGAAAAAGAGCCACAGGCCACTCCCTCCAAAGAGAAGGGGGGGCAGGACCTTAAAACCTGAGCTGCCCTAGCAGCTTTAATCCCACCCCTTTTCATGACGGGGTCCACAGTGCATCTTCCATACCAGCGAGAGACTGGCCATTTGCTGTGTTATGCATTAGTACACTAGAAATACTATACTGCTTGTGAATAGGCTATGCTTAGTCCAGATAAAGAGCTACAGCAGTCTGCTTTGTTTTGTAATCTTTAACCTGGGGTGGTGGTGTTTTTTTGTTTTGTTTTTTCGCTTTTGGGCCTCCTACCTTTTATTCTAAATAAAGTTTCACAATCTGACCAGCTCTTCAGACTGTCCTGTCACTGGGGCTCTTTTGAGTACCAACCTTTAGTCTATTCAGAAGCATATCAAATATCAACATAAAGGATGTTTAGATTAAAACTGCTGCAGTGGTAGCCTAATAATATTTATTTATTTATACATACATACATACATACATATCCCGCCCATCTGCCTGGGTTTCCCCAGCCACTCTGGGCGGCTTCTAACAGAATATTAAAATACAATACAGTGGTACCTCGGGTTACATATGCTTCAGGTTACATACGCTTCAGGTTACAGACTCCGCTAACCCAGAAATAGTGCTTCAGGTTAAGAACTTTGCTTCAGGATGAGAACAGAAATCGTGCTCCGGCGGCATGGCAGCAGCTGGAGACCCCATTAGCTAAAGTGGTGCTTTAGGTTAAGAACAGTTTCAGGTTAAGAACGGACCTCCAGAACGAATTAAGTACTTAACCCGAGATACCACTGTAGTCTATTAAACATTAAAAGCTTCCCTAAACAGGGCTGCCTTCAGATGTCTTCTAAAAGTCAGATAGTTGCTTATTTCCTTGACATCTGGTGGGAGGGCGTTTCGCAGGGCGGGTGCCACTACCAAGAAGGCCCTGTGCCTGGTTCCCTGTAACTTCGCTTCTCGCAGTGAGGGAACCGCCAGAAGGCCCCTGGCCCATCCGGGTTGAACGATGGGGGTGGAGATGAATCCAAAACGTTTGGTTACCTCCACATTTGTCAGAGATAAGTTTCTCTTTTGTATCAGTGGAAATCTGATTTGCTTTCTTTTCACATATACAAATCTCTTACAAATCAAATTTCCACTGATCCAAAGGAGAAATTTATCTTTGACAAATGTGGAGGTAACCAATCGTTTTGGTTTCATAGTACCAAATTCTCGTCTTGAAAAGGGAGATGGGCTACACATATTGCCATTTTGGTAGCGCCAACTCAGTCTCATAAAGGATGCTTAGTTTAAAGCAGCTGAATGTGTCGCCTCGAGTGGTTTATGGGGTGTCAGACCACCAATTTGAGGATGGCATCAAACTGGGAGGGGTAGCTAATAACCGAAAGCCACACCCAGAGGGAGGCTGATATAAGAAGGAGGCAAAAAGAGCAAACAATTTGCTTTTTTCAAAGGTGGGAAGAGGCCACTTTCAAAATTCAAGGATGTGGGGCTGACAAGCTGGGGTTGCCTTGCTAGAAAGTGAACATCCTAGTTGGAAATGCCCGTGTTGGGGGGCGGGAGGAACCGGTGAGGGTTGGCTGTGCTGCTTTTGTGCCCCAAAACTGGAGGAGAGAGGCACATTTTGGATTTCCTGAACCCTGAAAAAGCACCTGCTCACTTTCCCTTCTGGAAGGGAAATGGGCGCATCGGTGACGGGATTTGAAACTGATTAGGGTCTTAAGGACCTTTTAAATAGCCTCAAGACTAGAGGAATTAAATAAATGCCCCCTCCTCCCCAACTGGACTTGGGGCAAAGCGGGGGGAGGAAACGGGTTCCCCCTCCAGTAGATTTTGATGCTTTTTCTTTCCTGAGAGAGATCAAATCCAGGGTGCAGGATGGGCCCAGTGCAGGCATAAAAGCATGTTTTGGGGGGCGGGATTGCAATGCAATGCAGTGCTGGTGGGATGTGGAGACGGAAAGAGAGCAAACAGGGAAGCTGCCTGACAGGTGGGGGAAGGAGACCCCCAAAATGAAGGGAGGTGGGTGCACACCTGATTCGTCCTCATTGGGGAGAAGACTCAGGGATTCTTCCTGAAGGTGCATATACACAAACAGGTAAATGATCTTGAAAATGCTAAATGCCTGTATTCCATTTCCAACTTCCTCTTTGATCTTTTACATAAAGGTAAAGGGACCCCTGACCATTAGGTCCAGTCGTGGCTGATTCTGGGGTTGCGGTGCTCATCTCGCTTTATTGGCCGAGGGAGCCAGCGTACATTCATGTGGCCAGCATGACTAAGCTGCTTCTGGCGAACCAGAGCAGCGCACAGAAACACCATTTACCTTCCCGCCGCAGTGGTACCTATTTATCTACTTGCACTTTGACGTGCTTTCGAACTGCTAGGTTGGCAGGAGCAGGGACTGAACAACGGGAGCTCACCCCGTTGCGGGGATTCGTACCGCAACCTTCTGATCGGCAAGCCCTAGGCACAGTGGTTTAACCCACAGTGCCACCCGCGTCCCAATCTTTTACATACTCTTGATGTAATTCAGGATCAGGACAAGGGTCCATCTTCCTGCATCCTGCTCTCCCAGTGGGAAACCAGATGCCCATTTGGGGAATCCTGGATGCTTTGGGAACTTCATCCATCTCCCATGAGCCAGCCAGCTGTTCCTGGTGTCTCTCCTGATTGAACACAAATGGCTTGGCCTTTATATATTTTGCCTTTTTCTGAGTTTACCTGTATTCATAGAGTTGTAGAGTTGGAAGGGAGTCTGGAAGTCTTCTAGTCCAATCATCTGCAATGCAGAAAAATGCTTAGCTGTCCATGGAGGCGCAGGTCAATTCTGTGTCCAGGGCAGCTGTCTACCAGCTCCATCTTGTACGCAGGCTGAGACCTTTTTAAATCTCAGCTTATCCGTAAACTCAATGCAAACCTGAGTCTCTCAGCAAGGGAAGACCCTGTGTGGCAATACCTATAGCCCATAATATGTATCCAAAATGATTGGTTATCTTTACAATTGCCAGAGGGAAATTTCTTTTAGATCATAGGAAATCTGATTTCTAGGGAAACGTGTATAGGTGAAAGAAAAGCAGTAGTTCTAAGATGAAGGCTATACATTCAGCTGTTTTGCTCCAGACATCCTTTATGTTGATATTTGATGTGCTTGTGGGTAGGCTAAATGTTGGTACTCAAAAGAGTTTCAGTGACAGTGTTGCCGGAAAAACCCCTGTTCTTCCTGGTTCTTACCAATCAGAAACATGAGAGGAGAGTCAAAAGTTCCTTTATTTTGCTGTGCAGCAGAGTGTTTCAAAGAGATTGTTCCCAAAGTCTGGACCCTAGGGCGTTGCCCGCAGGGGTCAGTTTCACAGACAAAGAAAATAATACAAAACCAATTATAAGTCGCCCAAACTTTTCATTCCCTTCTTTGGAAAATAAGCACCCTGCTGCTGGCTGCAACTGCGTTCCAAGCCTGTAACCTTAATTCTGCTGACATAACTCTTACCAAACTTCAACATACTACTGTGCCTGCGCATCCTATAGCCTAATACTGCTGCTTTATTAATACTGCAAAAATAGAGGCTCATTGTGTAGCCTTTCTAGGCCCTTTAACCATGGGTAGGAAAGCGTTGCGCCCGGGGAGAGACAAAAGAGTCAAACGACACCAAGGGGTTAAATCCAGAGAAAGAGCTTTATTCTGCCATTCCTGGGGGGGCGGGCAGAGGCACCTGTGTGATGGATTCACAAAACAGGCAGCTGAAAACATTTTACAAGCAGGTTTTTATCCCCCTTTTTCCTCTCCCCTTCATAGGTTTACATAGAAATGTTTATCTTGTTCCCTGGCTCTGTTCCCGGAAGAGAGTTTGCAACAAGCTAAATGTGCTATTGCCAAGGTCAGTTGGCCTGAGAGCGAAAGGCATTGTTTTAATTCAGCTACCTTTGTTACATAGAAAATGCTTAGCTAAAAGCTTTTTTAGCCTTAGAGAAAATGAAAAGTGCAGTTTGAAAAGTGCTTGAGGCTTTGAGGCCTGGTTGGGGGGGGGGAATTCACAAACCGATTTTTAGGGTAACCTAACTGACTGTCCCCCTTCAATTGTTAGTCAGGAAATGTTCACTTCCACAACAGGAAATGTCTGCTCCTCCAGACTGCTGTGCCTGCACTTTCGGCCCCTTACTTCATGCGTGCAGGCAATCTTTGAAGGGAGACTGCTTGTGCATTTATGATTACAAGTAGGGGCAGGGTGTACTGTGTCCAGGGCAGCTGTCTACCAGCCCCATCTGGTACGCAGGCTGAGACCCTACCTGCCCGCAGACTGTCTCCCCAGAGTGGTGCATGCTCTAGTTATCTCCCGCTTGGACTACTGCAACGTGCTCTACTACTTTTGAAGGTGACCCAGAAACTACAACCAATCCAGAATGCAGCACCTGAACTGGTGACTGGGAGTGGCCGCCGAGACCGTGTAACACTGGTCCTGAAAGACCTACATTGGCCCCCAGTACGTTTCCGAGCACAATTCAAAGTGTTGGTGCTGACCTTTAAGGCTTTAAACAGCCTCGGCCCCGTACATCCGATGGAGCGTCACCACCCCCATCATCCAGACGGGACACTGAGGTCCTCATCTGAGGGTCTTCTGGCGGTTCCCTCACTGTGAGAAGTTACAGGGAACCAGGCAGAGGGCCTCTTGGTTGTGGCGCCCTCCCTGTGGAAGACCCTCCCATCAGATGTCAAGGAGATAAACTTTTAGAAGGTATTGTTTAGGGAAGTTTTTAGTGTCTAAGGTTGTAATGTGTTTTTAATATTCTGTTGAAAGCCGCCCAGAGTGGCTGGGGAAATCCAGCCAGATGGGCAGGGTATGAATCATCATCACCATCATCATCATCATCTCCCCTTTCCTCCAAGGAGGTCAAGGTGACCTCTGTGATTCTCCACCTCCCTTTTATCCTCACAACCACCCTGTGAGATAGGCTGCGCTGTACTGCAGTGGGTGGCCCAACGTCGCCTAGTGATCAGATGGTAACCCTGGTCTCCCAGGTCCAACACGGGAGCCACTGCCAGCACCTTGACATGGCATTAATTGTGAGATAAGATGGCGCCCGGCACGCTTCCCCTGTGCCGATGGACGCTTGTGCCGATAGAAAACTTGAGCTCTTTGAAGCTCTCAGCAGAGTTCTTAGCAGCGGTAGAAAGTGTTGCCTTGTGTGTGTGGATAATAAATCAGACTGAACGCAGGCCTCTTGCTAATCTCTAACAGCCTTTAATGTGAAGAAAAACATCATAAATCAGTCCCGGCGAGAGAGCAGACATTTCTTTCGTCTCTCAGCCAAAAACGAAAGGAAACTCACACACAAAGAAAGATTCCCGTATGTGAACCAAACCACGCCTCAGAATGTGAGACGTTACACAGAACTGTTTAACCCTGTAAGTTCTGATTCTCCTCACACCCCCTCTCGTCTCGCATCCTGAGGGAAACTGTGAGTATAACTCACCCCAAACACAACCCTTCACAGAACTCCCCATGTCGCTGGAAGGTCAAGGGTTTGGTAAACCCATCAGCTAGGTTCTCCCGGCTCAAACAATACTTGAGCTGTATCCAACCTGCTTGGACACTCTGACATACATTCTGGAAACGTATGTCCAAATGCTTGGTTCTGGACTTGAATTGTCCAGATTCTGCCAACCTAAGACAAGGTTGATTGTCTCCCCAAACAGTTATGGGCAAGTAACAATCCCCACAGATCTCTTGGATCAAGCACCGGTAGAAGTCCAACTCCCTGCACAAATCCGACAATGCACTGAACTCAGCCTCAGTGGAAGAAAGCGCTATAAGACTTTGCTTCCGGGACTTCCACCCAACCAGGGATTCCCCGAACTTTACCACCAGCCCAGACACAGACTTCCTGTCCCCAAGAGATGCCCAATCGCTGTCACTCCAGCACGTAAGCCGTGTGTCACCTTCAGCCGACAACGTGAGGCAAAACTCTTTGGTATCCTGCAAATACCTCAACACTCTCTTGATGCCTTGCCAGGCATTCACACTGGGCTTTGTAGCCTCCCTGCTGAGCAGATTCACAGCAAACGCTATGTCTGGTCTACTCCACTGAGAGAGATACAACAGACTCCCTAGCGCTGACTGAAACACCTCAGGGTTTTGGAACTCAGAATGCTCCCCAAGCTGACTGTCCTTCACGAAGTTGGTCTCCATGGGCGTTCTGACCCCTGCACAGTCAGACATCCGGAACTTCTCAAGCAACTGCTCAATCTTGCCTTCCTGACTGAGCAAGAAACTCCCGTTCTCAGACCTGTCTATCCTAACGCCTAGATAAACCTGAATGGGACCAAGATTTTTGAGCTTAAACTTCTTACCAAGCTCTTTGGCAAAACCTTGCACCTGTCTATTTGTCTGTGCCACGTACAGAATATCATCTACAAACACCAGAATCGCTTCCTGTGTCCCTCCTGACCCCTTCAGGTACAGGCAACTGTCTGCAAGACTCTTCTGGAACCCTGGTCAGAGACCTGGTCCTCATCAACAGGTTCAGCTTCTAACTCTCCCTCCTCAGCAGAATCAAACAGACACTCGAGAACGTCAGGATTCGCATGGATCCTTGACCAACCACTCTGCTCACAGAACTCAGCACTTCTGCTGACTAGAATCCTGAACTGATCGCCTTCTGGATAGGCAAACCTCCACCCTTTTGTCCCAGGCTCGTACCCACAAAAGATCATTTTCCAGGACCTCGGGTCACCTTTCTTGCGTCGCCTAGTGATCAGATGGTAGCCCTGGTCTCCCAGGTCCAACACGGGAGCCACTGCAGCACCTTGACTTGGCATTAATACATTCTGTTAGGCCTCAGAAGTCCAACCTTTTTTCTGGAAAGCAGCTCCAATGCACAGCAAGCTGCCTTCTAGGGAGTCAGGTAATTGGTCGATCTAGGCCAGGAATCCCTTCGCTGACTGGCAGCAGCACCCGGGATTTCAGATGGGTGATTCTTCCCATATGCTGATGGTCCCCTTTCCATCTCTCCCAACAGACGTGGCTTCGAACAGGGGAACCAGTCACCACTTGCCCGCAGCGGCCAACGCACTTCCTAGCCAACTTTGTTGCTAGGATTTTATCTTCTTTTATTTTTAAGAAGTAGAAGCACTGCTGCATGTCACCCTCACAAAAGGATGGGTTCTCGGCTCCCCCGGGGGTGGACTTAAAATGTAGTGATTTGAACAGGCATGATGTGGGCGCAGCTGATCGCCATGGCGGACAAACAGGAAGTCCACGAATGTAGATATTTTAGATTTAGAAGGTCATAAAAATAGGTTTGGATGGCATGCATATTTATGCTTCGAATAAACAAAGATGCATAAAGCTTTTCAGAATCATACATGTATTTTTCGCTCTATAGAACGCACCCGACCAAAGCGCACACCTAGTTTTTTGAGGAGGAAAACAAGAAAAAATATTCTGAATCAAATGTTGTATAAACTACTGTATTTAATAAACAACCGGTATATCAGAATCATATTACAGCCATGTAAAGTGAACAGCAGTCAACAATGGCATTAAGAACCATCATCACTGTCATTAACAAATGAAGAGAGACTTTAAGGTTTGAGTACTCTTCTAGTCTTCTGTGAACCCCAGGAACTCATCACTGCTAGAGTCAGAATTTATGAAGCTCAGTTGCTCACAATCACCGACATCACTTTCTTCGCTATCTTCATGTAAAATACCATCTTCATTTCCATCCAAAGCATTGCTAATGCCACATTTTTCCTCTCAGTCCTCTTCCTCCCCTCTCTCAGCGAACAGCCTGCCCGCTGCTCGCAAACATTCCCTTTACTTGAATTACAGTCAAGAAACAGCTGAGCAGAGCCTCTCAGCGGTGGGCTTGGGAGGCTTTCCTCCCCACTTTTTTCTCCCCCTCCCCAAGCAGAACAGTCCCCTTTTCCAGCCTCCTCCTCTCCATCCCTTTCACCCAAACTCCTCAGGTGACGTCTGCAATTTCTCCCCTTCCCTGCTCCCTCTCCTTTGCCCTCTACCATGACTCTCCACTCACGACAACCTATGGTACCTCATCTCCCTTCACCCAGCTTCTTGGTCCCCCTCCTCTCCGTCCTCTTCCTCCCCTCTCTCAGTGAACAGCCTGCCAGCTGCTCCAAACAATGAGGGGGAAAGGGCAGGCTGCTGGCAGAGCAGCACCCCCCCACCCCCATTCAGCAGCCCAGGAGCGTGGGGCAGGCTGCCCGCTGCTCCAAAGCTTCCTGGGGCTGCAGAGGGAAGCCGAGGCTGCCGGCAGGGGAGCGCGGCTCACCACCACCACCACCAAAGAGCAGTCCAAGAGCGTGCCGCACTCGGCAATTTGGCTCTAGGGACCACACATTCGCTCCATAGGACACACAGACATTTCCCCTTACTTTTTAAGAGAAAAAAAGTGCGTCCTATGGAGTGAAAAATACGGTAATAAGAAAATCAATTTTTAGGGTATGGGAGAAGTATAAAAATCTGTTTGAGGAAAAACCACCTAGGTGGCTTTCCCCTTTGGAGGCAATACAGTGGTACCTCGGGTTAAGTACTTAATTTGTTCCGGAGATCCGTACTTAACCTGAAGCTGTTCTTAACCTGAAGCACCACTTTGGCTAATGGGGCCTCCTGCTGCCACCGCGCCGCCACCGCACGATTTCTGTTCTCATCCTGAAGCAAAGTACTTAACATGAGGTAATATTTCTGGGTTAGCGGAGTCTGTAATCTGAAGCGTATGTAACCTGAAGCATATGTAACCTGAGGTACCACTGTATCCCTGAAAAAATTGAATATGAGAAGTAATTGGCCAACATATAAAGGTCTGTTAAGTTGAAAATCACTTAAAATTCATCATCATCATCATCCTTTTTATTCGACCGTCAGTCAGAAAAAAGTACATTTTATCAATACACAGTTAAAAACATCCAGGGAGATTTTAAAACTTAGCCAACACTAAAATGGGCTAAACAGATAGCCCCATATCAATACAGTCAATTATAGTCTTGCGACGCTTAAAAGCTAAAAAGAGAAATTTGGCCACCAAGGAAGGTATAGCTCTAGTGGCATTATTCAGCAAGTGTAAGACCTGGTTTTCTCCAGGTAGGAAGCTGAATTGACATAAGAGTGGGTCTATAAAATTTTGTCTAAGCTCTGCATAAGAAGGGCAAGTCAAGAGAATATGTTCAGTGGACTCAACCACACCCATGGCACAATGACAGGTTCTCTGGGCGTATGGTACCCCCCTGTACCTTCCCCACAATATCGCAGAGTCAAGGACATTTAATCTAGCCACTGTAAGAAGTCTACGGTATTCCACATAATGGATTTCTGCAAGGTAGGGGGCTGGTATGGTCCGATAAATCTGGTCCCCTAGGAACATCCCTGGTTTTACCTGGGCTATGTCCTCTTGTCTGGCAATGTCACTCAGTCTCCGGGAGATCACAGCTCTAGCTTGATTGTACGTCATAGACTCAAAGTAAAGGTGAGACAATCCGCAGGATTGAACCTCATCAATGACCTCCCTTTCCCACGATGATTGGAAATCATCCCTCAATATCAAGGGGGCAATACCCACTGGTTTAAAACAGAGCTTGAGCCATAGCCAGAGCTTCGTCTTCAAGGCCACATACCGTAGAGCTTGCCAGCCGACCTCTAATCTCATAACCGCACCCGCTACCGAGGGGGGAATCCTAAGGATGGCTCTAAGGAATCGCGTTTGGATAGAATCCAGTTTCAAAAATCCCTATGGGAGCCTAAAGAGATGCCCACCAAAAGAAGGGGGAGGACTTTCATTTGAAAGAGTCTCAAAGCTATCTTCACTGATTGAGCCTGATTCTTAGCATATAGAGATCTAATCTGGATGGCTGCTTTAGATGCGTTAGTTGTTATATAGTCTCTATGGGCCAGAAAAGACCTATTTGACCGTATTACTTGTCCCAGATATTTAAAGCAGTTAACCTGCTCTAGGGGGGTCCCGTTCATCGACCATCGATGGAGTCTCGGTCGGGCAGAGAAGACCATGATCTTGGTCTTAGCATAGTTGGGATGGAGCTCATGCTGATCACAGTATTCATGTAGAGCTTGCAACATTCTCCTCAGTCCAATAGGGGATCTGGCAAGAAGTGCGGCGTCATCCGCATACAGAAGAACGTTCAGAGATCGGCCTGCTTATTGGGGGTGGGGTGGATATCATCATTGGCCATGAGAGTCACCAGTGATTTAATGTAAAAATTATAAAATGCTGGGGCCTTTAGACAACCTTGTCTTACCCTCTGGTGGTGGTAACAGGGTTGGAGACTAGGCCTTTATTGTCTAGCCTGATTCTCAGAAAGGTGTTTGTATGGAGGCTGATAATCAGATGAAGGAGACGACGATCGATCTTTGTAGCAGCCAGTTTTGTCCATAGCTGCTTTCTAGAGATTCGATCAAATGCCTGCTTAAGGTCAATAAAAGCCACATGAAGAACCTTTGGGGCGTTGCCGGCATACTTTTCCGCCAGGTGATTCAAGGTTAGTATTTGGTCTGTGGTAGATCTTCCAGGGCGAAAACCCGCCTGTTCATCGGCAATGATATTGTCGTCCTCCATCCATTTCAATAGTTTGTTTAGCAGGTACCCCGAGTAAATCTTCCCAATGACATTTAGCAAGCTGATTGGCCTAAAGTTGCTCGGCTCTGTACGTGGTCCTTTCTTATGTATTAATACAATCAACGCAGAGCTCCAGCTTGAGGGGAATTTTGCTGTTTTGTTTATATGCGTGTAAAGTGCTGCTAAAAGTGGGATCCACCAATCTTTATTTGCTTTGATGACATCAATGGATATAAGGTCATCACCGGGGCCTTGCCTGCTTTAAATCGATCTATGAGAGTTTCAACTTCAGGGCATGTAACTGGGTCCCAATCGGGCAGTGCTTCCGGCTCCACCGTATCTCCGCAGGCATCATGAGCTGCATACAGATCGGCGAAGTATCTTTCCCAAGTGTCCGCTGAGATGTGGGGTTCTATTCTTGCAAGCGGCCTACCCAGGTATCTGGAAATTAACTGCCAAAAAGAGGCTGGATTTCTATTCTCTGCAGCTATCAAGAGGTTGTTCCAATTGTTTCTTTCTGCCTCGAGCTTCTTTTCCTTTAGTAGGGCTTTATAACTTCTCCTGAGGGTGATAAGACGGTTATTTGGCATGGGGTCATTTGATGCTCTGTATGCCACCCATTCATTATACAGATGATTCTTGAAGTTTTTGCATTCCTCATCGAACCATTTTTTGTGGAAAAACTGTTTACCATGCTTTGTGGGGGACCGAGCTAGTGTTGGTTTTAGAAGTTCTACTAAATCGTCATATATTGGTAGAGGCTCATCCGCCTGCATAAGGGAAGCTCTTTTTATTTGGAGCTGATCAGACCAGAGAAGTTCGTTCAGCTGCTGGGCCAAGTTGGAGGTCCATTTAAGGGCTGTAGGTCTTATCTCCAGATGGTCATTTGATAGGTGCACAAAGGAGTGCCTATCAAGTTCGTCAGCCAAAGTCAAGGAAATTTCTAGAGGGAAGTGGTCACTCTCCAATCTTGAAGCCACCTTAAAGCTGGATATTTTTGGGGTAAGGTCAGGAGATATCCATACAAAATCAATAGTGGATGCACGTGAACCTGACCAATAGGTGAATTCGGCAGGGTAGTCCGAGCTGATTGCCCCATTTAGCAGAAGGAAATTGAGGGCCAGCAAGGTTTGCCTGCATTTGAAACCTGCATACGTGGCTATGTTATCTTTGAATTTCCTTGGTAAAAGATCTGTAGTCATAAGAGGTGAAGAAGGGTACTTGCTAAATTTAGAGAATAAGATTTGGTCAGTGTGTGACAGGCGTCCGTTAAAATCTCCCGCCAACAGAAAAGTGGCTTCGGGGTATTTATCAAAAAGCGTTTCCAATGTCACTTGAATTTCCTGCCATCTCAGATCAACCAAATTTCTCTTATAAATTGGACATAAGTAGATATTAATCACTACTATCGTTTCCTCTGCTGTTTGCAACTTTATAATCAGCATGAGTGTCGACTGGATGTCGATTTTTTCAGCCTGAAGATTTATGGCTAAGGAAACAAAAGTAGCCAAGCCTCCTTGCGGTCTACCATGTGATAACGAATTCTGCGTGGCATTCAGGTAGAAGCCCTTGTATCCTGTTAGATAGAAGTCCTCACAGGCCCATGACTCTTGGAATAGGAGGATGTGGCTGCCATTTATATAAGCAACAAATGATGGATCTGTCAGCTTGGATTTAATACCAGCCACATTCCATGATAGTAGTGTAAGAGGCCGCTTTGTGTTTCCTTCAAGTCATGATTTCTCTTGCGTGGTTAATCCTGGAGAATCCAAATGGGGGTGCACGCAGCGTGAAGGGGCAGTAGGGTGAAAAAAGGCAGTGATTTTTAATTGTTTGCACTTCGGGTTCAAGTTGTCACATGTCACAGGAGCAGCCAGTGGCTGGGGCGAATTTACAGATCGCTGTGAGAGAAAATCTTGATCGTTTACCGTATGCTCTGTAGTTGCAGGAGTCGTGCCTTGAGGATCGAGGCTTGTTGATGGGAAAGCACTATGTAAGACAGAAGAAAAACATCCTTTTCGGTTAGCTTCCAGTAGCTTGTTTAGCCTTGCCACTGCCTCAGTGTTTGTCCAAAGGGCTACTGGATCCCCCAGTGTCTCTTGCGTCGTCATGGTATCAGCACAAGGAATGTAGCCATTTTGAGGATTGGAGATCGTTTTCGCTGCAGGGGGGTCCACATGGGCTTGTGTCTGCCAATCTTTAGAAGCATCTATAGTGGCCGAAGCTGGACCCGTTAAAGCTCTACCCCTTAAGGCAGTCCCTTCTTGCCGGTGGGATGGTCGGCTAGTAAATCGTGGGGAGGGGTTCATAGGAAGGGTCCGTTGTTGCGAATTCCGGTCCTCAGTCCTCCTTGTAGGCCGGCTAACCAAATTTGCTGAGTTTGGGATTTTCGCAATAATGCCCCTACAATTGTTAAAGAAGCATCTTTGTGGAAAGATTCCAAACCAGTTGAGACGATTTTGAAGTTTGCTCAAAAGTGCAGGAAGCCTGGGAGAGTCGAACTTGAGCAACAAGTGCTTAAATTTTGGTGTCTCTGGCAGCCATTCTAATGATAGGAGACCACCCTGGGCCAAGTAAGACCTGGTCAACATTCGCAATGAGATCACAGCAGCTTTACGATTTCTCCAGGCATAATAGGGGAAGCAGGAGTGAGCAATGTTCAAGCATATATTGTTAGGGGTGAGTTGGAGGTTTACTAGCTGCTGCCCCCTACTTAGGCTCTGTGCCTCATAATTATCAGGTCCCTGTTGATTTAATGGTGGGTTCAAAATCGAGACAGGGGTTTTGGTGAAGGCATTTAGTTTTCCCTCTAACATATTGATGGAAGCTGATAGCACCTTTATTTCGTCAGCTAAGTGAAGGCAATATTTCTGCAAAGTCCTCAGCTCCGCTGATTGTACTATATCACCCAAAGATTTGCGATGACGGTTGGGGTAAGGAGAGAGGCCATCTGGGCTGGAGGTCATATCCAACAGCGATTTGTCTCCTGGCAAGGGAGTATTTGAAGTCGTTGCGGGATCATGTAGGCAATCTAACTGCTTGGAAGTAACAGGTGAAGGAGGCACAAGATTGCAGAAAAACTCCTCCAATGATGAGATAGAAGGCTCTAAGATCTTAGGTGGTGAATCCAGCCCAGTATGCTTCGAAACCTTAGACCTAGGTTCTGAGGCATTAAAGGAACAGTCTTCCACAGAAGAGGTACGGCCACGTTTTAGATTCGTCATGCTAAACCCCTTGAGCGGCTCGGTTATCTAAGAGTCCTTCAAAGGCCAAGCAAATTAAAATTAAAAGACTTTGAAGACATAAAGGAGGCTGTAATATATTGGTCACAGTATTAGCAATTAAATGATATTTTTAAGATAGATAAAAAGAAAGGTTTTAGTTATGAGATAGCAAGATTCCAATAACTTCTAGAAAACAATATTAAAATACTGTCAAAAATGTCTAACTTGCTCCTGGAATGGAACACAAAAGATGAAAAGGTTAAATCGGTAACGATAAATTGGGCAAAGAATTTAGGACATAACATACAGCTGGCAGATTGGGAGCTTTGGAAAACAGATTTGAAGTTTACAACATGTACGCTGAAAGAAAATTGTATGAAAATGATGTATTGGTGGTATTTGACTCCTTCTAAGTTAACTAAAAGGTACAGAACAAGTTCAAATATCTGCTGGAAGTGTACGGAAAAGGAAGGAACCTTTTATCACATGTGGTGGACAGGTAATAAAATCATTTTGGGAAATGGTATATAATGAATTGGAAAAAAAGTTTTAAATAACTTTTCTTTAAAAAAAAACAGAAGCTTTTGTATTAGGAATTATAGGTACTGAGATCCCAAAAGAACAGAAAAGACTCTTTATGTACGCGAAAACTGCTGCACGGATGCTACTGGCCCACAGATGGAAGAAAAAATCCTGACCAGACTTTAAAGCACACTTAGAATGAATATTGTTATTAAGACCCGTGTAAGGGAAGGGGGGAAGTTAGGAGATTCAGTGAATCTCAACAAATGATTATATAAATTTATATTTGTAAAAACAAAAACAAAAAATTTACAACCCCCCCCCCAAAAAAAATCTGAAGAGGGAAAGAACCCCCAAATATCTTCAAAACCTGTAGTCTGTGGGCCTGGCATATACCTGATGCAGACTTGTACCAAGGGCAGCAGAGGAGTTCAGGATGGAGCCTCACCTGTCGTATTAAAGGTAAAAGGTAAAGGACCCCTGACAGTTAAGTCCAGTCGCGTACGACTCTTGGGTTGCGGCGCTCATCTCGTTTTACAGGCCAAGGGAGCCCCGCAGTTTTCCCGGGTCACGTGGCCAGCATGACTAAGCCGCTTCTGGCACAATGGAACTCCAAAATCAGAGTAGCGTACGGAAACACTGTTTACCTTCCTGCCGGAGAGGTACCTATTTATCTACTTGCACTTTTTGGCATGCTTTCAAATTGCTAGGTTGGCAGGAGCTGGGACCGAGCAACAGGAGCTCACCCCCTTGCGGGGATTCAAAACGCCAACTTTCTGATCGGCAAGCCCAAGAGCAGGGGTCAGCAAACTTTTTCAGCAGGGGGCCGGCCCACTGTTCCTCAGACCTTGTGGGGGGCTGGACTATATTTTGGAGGGGGAAATGAATTCCTATGCTCCACAAATAACCCAGAGATGCCTTTTGAATAAAAGGACACATTCTACTCATGCAAAAACACGCTTATTCCTGGACCATCCGCGGGCCGGATTTAGAAGACGATTTGGCTGGATGTGGCCCCTGGGCCTTAGTGAGGCTCAGTGGTTTAGACCACAGCGCCACCCGCGTCCCAACCACCTGTCGTATTAAGTCATGCCAATTCTTTATACCCAGGCCATGGGCTGGATCCACACAGATATAAAACACACAAGGGGGGAACACAATAAAAAGCTCCCAATGCAATTTAAAATTGACACTGGGTTTCTGCTGTACAGTGCGATCTGGTTTCAAATTTCTATAACACATTTATAACGTTATGATTGACCATTATATCCGAGTCCATGCCTTACAGAAATAAACCAAAGGATGCGTTCAGCTTGAAACATTATTTTTACATCAAATGTTATACTCAGTACTGTGAGATACAACGTTCCTTTCTTTAAACACACATTTACACAACTTTACATACTGTTATAAAAGTCAGGTCCCTGCCCCTCTCTCTGCTGAGTGTTGGCAAAAGCTCATGGGGTCTGCTTTCCTTTGGTGAAGGGAAGACACGGCGGCGACTGTCGCGACTTCAATATATGTGGTTTATTCCCCTATTTACACCTTCAATCTGCATGGAGGGTGTCCAGATCTTAAAGCACGGTCCTCTCAAGTGTGGTTTGTACTCCACAGCAATGCATCTCTGTAGTCCAAGGCATCTCGAGAGCCAGTGTGGTGCACTGGCTAAGAGCGGTGGACACGTAATCTGGTGAACCGGGTTCGCGTCTCCGCTCCTCCACATGCAGCTGCTGGGTGACCTTGGGCTAGTCACACTTCTCTGAAGTCTCTCAGCCCCACTCACCTCACAGAGTGTTTGTTGTGGGGGAGGAAGGGAAAGGAGAATGTTAGCCGCTTTGAGACTCCTGAAGGGGAGTGAAAGGCGGGATATCAAATCCAAACTCTTCTTCTTCTTCTTCTTCTTCTCTGCCACCACCCACCCTACGCAAAGATGGATCTGGGCTCTTCTCCCTGCTTCTTCTTCCCCACAACCAGACTCCCAGACTCCCTTTCCCTGTCACCTCAAAAACAGTTACCTGGGCAACCTTTAGAACAGAGGTGTCCAACCGATGGACTGTGATCGACAGGTGGACCGCCAGTGTGTTATAGGTCGATTGAGGGATGACATAAAGTGATAATTCAATGTAAAAGAGCCCCACCCCCCTTGGTATATTCCTACCATGCATGCATTGCTGCTTAAATTACCTCTAGGGTTTTTTGTCCCCCAAAAGCTGCACTAGTCTTGCAACCCGCCCCCCCAAAGCCTCTCCCCCAAGGAAGCTCCACAACTCTGGCCTCCCCCCTTCCACCCCACGCATGCTCCCCCTTCCATTAATGACAATGGGTAGATGACTGTCAGTTTTTTTATACTGGGAGTAGATCACAGTCTCTTGGGAGTTGGACATGCCTGCTTTAGAACATCTGAATCTTCAGTCCAAGATGGCCCAACAACTCATTTTGTCACATTAACAGGTTTCCTCTTCAGTAAGCCAGCCAGGAATTCCGTCTAGCACAGCTCTGCAGCTTCGACTTTATTCAATCCCCTGGCATTTATTCATTTCTAGGGTTTAGTGGGGTCCCCCTCTAAAATCTATTATACAAACACCAGAATTCCACATAAACCTCCTGCACTTACAATTGACTTTCTCCCCAATGAGAGTATGTGGACGTTTTCTGAGCACCCTATTATAAGTGAAGCACATTCCATAGTCCTATTTAAGCGGTTTCTCCCATTTGTTTTTGTTGGTACTTTATAAGGCTTCCACTCTGAAATAAGCTCTTTCCACGATCAATACATTTTAAGGTTCCTACCCACGTGAGACTGTTGATGCTTTGTAAGGCCTCCACTCTGACAGAAGCTCTTTCCACACTCCATACATTTAAATGGTTTCTCACCTTTGTGAGTCCGTTGATGTGTTCTAAGAGCTCCACTGCGACTGAAGCTCTTTCCGCACTCCATACATCTGAATGGTTTCTCACCAGTGTGAGTTCGATGATGTAAATTAAGGTTTCCACTGCTATGGAAGCTCTTTCCACACTCCATACATTTATATGGTTTCTCCCCTGTGTGAGTTCGTTGGTGTCTTGGAAGGTTGCTACTATGACTGAAGCTCTTTCCACACTCCATACATTTATATGGTTTCTCCCCTGTGTGGGTCTGCTGATGTTTTATAAGCGCTTTACTATGACACAAGCTTTTTCCACGCTCTGCACATTTAAATGGTTTTTCCCCTGTGTGAGTTTGTTGATGTCTTCTAAGATTTCCATTAACTCTGAAGCTCTTTCCACACTCCATACATTTAAATGGTTTCTCTCCTGTGTGGGTTACTTGATGAATTCTAAAATGTGCACTTTGACTGAAGCTCTTTCCACACTCTGTACATTTAAATGGTTTCTCCCCTGTGTGAGTCTGTAGATGTCTTTTAAGATCTCCACTGTGACTGAAGCTCTTTCCACACTCCATACATCTGAATGGTTTCTCACCAGTGTGAGTTCGATGATGTGCATTAAGGTGTCCACGGTTATGGAAGCTCTTTCCACATTCCGTACATTTAAATGGTTTCTCCCCTGTGTGAGTTTGTTGATGTCTTCTAAGTTTTCCATTAACTGTGAAGCTCTTTCCACACTCCATACATTTAAATGGTTTCTCACCTGTGTGAGTTTGATGATGCATTTTAAGGGTTTGACTATGACTGAAGCTCTTTCCACACTCCATACATTTATATGGTTTCTCCCCTGTGTGAGTTCGTTGGTGTCTTGGAAGGTTGCTACTATGACTGAAGCTCTTTCCACACTCCATACATTTATATGGTTTCGCACCCGTGTGAGTTCGGTGATGTATATTAAGTTCTACACCGCGATTGAAGCTCTTTCCACACTCCATACATTTAAATGGTTTCTCACCTGTGTGAGTTTGATGATGCATTTTAAGGGTTTGACTATGACTGAAGCTCTTTCCACACTCCATACATTTATATGGTTTCTCACCCGTGTGAGTTCGGTGATGTATATTAAGTTCTACACCGCGATTGAAGTTCTTTCCACACTCCATACATTTAAATGGTTTCTCACCTGTGTGAATCCGTTGATGTTTTTGAAGCCGCTGACTCCGACTGAAATTATTTACGTACTCCATACCTTCCAATTGTTTCTCCACTGTGTGCATTCGTTGATATGCATTCACTGACTGTAGTACATTCTACATTCCACACCTTTAAATCGTTTCTTTGTATTCCCAATGAAATTGCAAATGGTCACCCAAAATTCTGATTGTCTTCTCCACCATCTGCTTTGGAGTGGTAGGAATGTAAATCCTGTAAGGAAGAGAACAAAGGTGGATATTAAAGGTCCAGAGGCCTGATTGTGGGGAAGAAGGGAAAGTGGAGGACACCAGAGAGAGGAGGCGGAACCAGGGGTGTTTCATCGGGAAGAGATTCAAGAGGTGAGTATAAAGAAGAAGCCAACCTTCTAACCAGGGTCATTGTACCTGGCTCCCTTTCCGACTCAGAACCTGAGAGACACACCCTTACGGAATATCCCCAGGCCATCTTCTGGAATATAAGCAAGGCATCTTTGGGAATGTTATCCAGACTTCCATTTAGTGTGCGAATCTTGGATTTATATAGTTGTTGGAGTACAGATTTCAGTCATAACTCCTGATTCTGTCATTATACACCTTTAGGAACCAGGCAAAAACGTTCCTTTTTAATGAGGCCTTTGGTTGATCACATTGACATCCAAACCCTTTTAGAATGTGGCTTTTGTCAACAGTGGGTCGCACGAGGCTCAGGGAAAGCTCGTGGTGTAGCCATAATACTCAGTAGAGACCTGAACTTCACTGCCACAACAGTCCTCAAGGACAAAAAAGGCAGATTCATTTTCGCTAAAGGGACACTAGATGGCAAAATCAAACTGACAATTGGCTCCATATATGCCCCAAACACGAAACAATTAGAATTCTTCCAGAAGACACTAAACAAATTCCTCTCCTTCTCTGAAGGGGAAGCAATCCTAGGAGGGGACCTCAATCTAAATATGAAAGGCATAGCCCTGAAAGATATCCACCCTACAACCCCATGGGCAACCTTCCTCCGAAGGAAACCCCCAACAACTAGGAACCCTTACAAGTTACTAAAAATGCTAAAAAGCAGGGGTCTCTACGACATTTGGGGTGAGCAAAACCCGGGAGACATCAGCCATACATTCCAATCGGGACGCCATGATACAGTATCCAGACTGGACAGCATTCTACTCACACAGGGTCTGATCCCCTCAGTGGAATCAACAAACATAGGTAACATTAAAATCACAGATCACGCCCCAGTAGAAGTCATCGTTAAAATAGGAGAAGGAACACAAACCACCCCATCATGGTCCTTCAGTCCCATCCTAACTACAAACAAACAAATTAGAGAGAGTCTCACAAAAACCCTCCAAAACTACTTCAAGGAAAACGATGTAAACAATATAACAACCCCCCTCCTATGGGACGCAATGAAAGCGGTCACCAGAGGAGCTTGCATAAAAGAGAAAACATTCCTTAAAAACAAACCTCCTCAAAAATTAGCAAAATAGAACAAGACATCACAGCCCTCTCATCACGCTACAAACAAACAGGATCTAAAAACTCCTCAAACTTATGGAACAAAAAAGGAGAGAACTAGACTCCCTAGAAATTAACAAAACAATGATCAACATTCTATACTCTAAACAACGTTTCTACGAATATGGAGGAAAAACTCCAGATTACTAGCAAATAGATGCAGGAAAAAGCACTCAAAACAAGAATACACTGCATCACCAAAAAGACGGCAACATAACATTCTCCCCGAAGAAATAAACTCAGAATTTGCAGAATTCTACTCCAACCTATACACCTCCCATAACCCACCAGAGAAGGAAATCCAAAAATTTCTAGCAGGACTGTCCATGCCTACCCTAACTGATGAGGAACAGGAATTCATGGACAGCCCTATCACCCCAGAGGAAATAGATGCGGTCCTCAAAAACCTGAAACCACACAAAGCCCCAGGCCCAGACGGCTTCACAGCAGAATTCTATAGGAAATTCAAAGAACCCTTGATGCCCTACATGACCCGCCTATTCAACGACATCATAAAAGGGGCCCCATCCCCAAAACCTGGACCCACTCCAAAATAGTCTCCATCCCAAAACCACTAAAAGACAGCCTCAAAGTAGAATCATACCGCCCAATCTCATTAATAAACCAAGACTACAAGATATTCACATCAATCTTGGCCAACCGCCTAAAAATCTTCCTACACAAGTTAGTAGCCCCAGACCAGACTGGCTTTGTCCCTGGCCGCAATATAACAGACCCCATCAGGAAACTACTGAACCTGATCGAACACAGCAAGGCAACCAAACTCCCATTGACAATTATGTCCCTAGACATCCTCAAAGCCTTTGATTGCTTAGAGTGGAAATACATATTAGCAGTACTAACTAACATGAAATTTGGCCCCAACTTCCTACAAATTCTCAAACAAATATACTCCCAAGCCTCAGCAAAATGCAGAACCAACAATATGGATTCTAATACTATAGCTATCCAAAGAGGCACGAAACAAGGATGCCCACTGTCTCCCTTCTTATTTATCCTGGCTCTGGAACCCTTAGCAATCAGCATCCGAGCAGCCACAGACATCAAGGGAGTGGAAATAAAAGGCAGAACCTATAAATTAGGGCTCTTTGCAGATGACCTAATGGTCACAACACCAGACCCCATAAGCACAGCAACCTCCCTAATCAGAGAACTCAACACATTTGCAATGGTGTCGGGCCTACAGGTAAATTTTACAAAGTCAGAAGCTATGTGCTTCAACACCCCTCCTCACACCCAAAAAGAACTCACGAAGGTCACCAAAATAAAACTTTGCCACACCAAGTTCAGATACCTAGGGGTACAAATAACCAGAAACCTCAATAAATTGTACCTCCACAACTACAAGCCCCTGTGGCGACAAATTAACAAAGACCTAAAGAGATGGAATAACATGAATTTCACTCTCTCAGACAAAATAGCCATGATCAAAATGATCACACTCCCAAAACTAACCTACCTATTCCAAACCCTCCCAATCTGGATCCCCTCAACCCAACTTCGCAGTTGGCAGAGAAAACTACACTCTTTCATCTTCTCACATAAAAACCAAGAATAAGCCTCAAATACCTGCACCTCCCCACCTCAGAAGGAGGATGGGGAATCCCCAACATAGAAGCATATTACAATGCCAACCAAATACGCCATATAATCCCATATATACTAGAAGATGAGACAAAACAATGGGTACACCTAGAGAGGGACACAATTGAAAATACCTGCACCACAACATACCCATTCCTCCCAAACAAACTAAAGAAAATTCCCACAACACTTAACAGGTACACACAGACCATGCTCAAAGCATGGAAAACACAAATAGGCAAACTATCCCCAACCCCATCCCCACTAATCCCCCTGGCGTACCACCCATTATTCCACCATGCAGCACAAAACCTCCAGATAAAAACCTGGCAAACCAAAGGCTTATATCGCCTAATAGACTTTTATAAAAATAACAAACCCTTGTCAACACAAGAAATACAAGACAAACTAGAAGACACCCAAATGCCCTGGTTAACACAACACCAACTACATGCCCTCTTAAACAACCCAACAGTAAAATCAGCAGCAACTAGGCCCCTGACAACCTTCGAAAACCTCCTCCTAACAACAAAAGGAAACGGTAAAGGGACGGTATCCGCAATATACAAAATACTACTCCAAAATCCCGCAAATCCCCTAGATGCAATCAAAAAACAATGGGAGAATGACATAGGCTATGAGATTAACCCCACTCAATGGACCAGAATGTGGTCTAAACCCCCCTTTAAATCCATATCAACGAAAAGAAAAGAACTCACACTGAAACTCACCTACAGGTGGTACCTAACACCAAGGAAACTAGCGCTAATACACCCAGGAACCTCACCAAAATGCTGGAGAGGGTGCACCTCCACAGGCACATACCTCCACATGTGGTGGGAGTGTCCCAAAATCCAACTATTCTGGACAACAGCCATACAAGAAATATGTAAAATAACTAAGCAAGTAATAGACATCACCCCAGAATTGGCCCTACTAAACATCTTCCAAGACAACAATGCCCATTTACACCACAAAGAACTCATAACCCACCTACTTTCAGCAGCCAGAAACACCATAACCAGACACTGGAGAGACCTGTCAGGAGTAAACATGGACCAATGGTACCAAATAGTATGGGAAACAGCCCTACTAGAAAAATTAACTAATAAACTGAAACTGACACGGGGACAAACAGAAGAAGACGTCTTCACCCTGGTATGGCTCCCCTTTATCACATACACAGCCCAACAGGACAATGACAATAATCCACCAACAGCATACAAATCAATATGGCTAACCTGATCCAAAACACCCACCCACCTCACTCACACACGAAAACAAAGATCACCACAGCCAATCACAAGCAGACAATCACACCCTAGGCCAACCCCAACCTCTCTCACCACCAAAGGAACACAAGTGAACAACACAAGCAACGCTGACACCAAACTCTACATACATTAAACATAATAGAAACACCGCCACCCGACCCCACCCCCATCCATCTTCCCTCTCTCCACCCACCTTTCTTTTTTCCATTTTTTTTTCTTCTCCCCCCTAATGCCTCAACAAATGAAATGGATTTGTAAAAATGTTACATGAAAAAAATATATATACGAGGCAGTACACTTACTTCTGTAAAACAAGAAAATCCTTAATAAAATATTAAAAAAAAAAAAAAAAATAATGTGGCTTTTGTTTTTTAGGGGGTATTATTGGGTTACGTGTTTTGGTTTTTTTTTATATTTTGTGGGCTTGTTCTGAACCGCCCTGAGACCTCCGGGTAATGGGCGGTGTATAGGTGAAATAATAATAATAATAATACCTCTGAAGACCCTTTGGTATCCATTTCCACCTTGAACTCCCAGGTAACACTGAGCTCTGCTGAGATTTCTCTGAAAATAACTTCCGGGGTGGCGCCATCGGTAATGGCTGCTTCTCTCTAACTCAGAGGGAACCGGCTCTACGGAATCTGGGTCTTACCGCTACGGCGCAGCGGGGACCCCTTAAAAAATTACAGGCGGGTGAAGCCTGTAACCGTGGGACTCAGCGGGCACCATTTGCGCCCCCCCAATTGCTAAAGGAGCTCGGCAACAGGCTCCGGAGCGGAGCGGGGGTGGCGTGGTGCTGTGAGCAAATTGCTTCTTCCGTGGAGCGAAGCCGCGAAGCTGTTGCCGGAGAGCGCTGCCTTTTCCTGGGACAATCAGACTTTGAAAACAACTACCCGTGAGTAGGATTAAATTGGACTCAAAAGAAAAAAAAAACGTTTAATTTGGTACTGAGCGGGGAAGGTACAACCAGGAAGTCTGCCTTCCTTGCGTTGTAAATAGATCAAAGCAAAGAGACTCTAAAGCGGAAACACAGAAAGTTGCTCAAAAAAAAGAGCTAAATCTTAACATTTTGAAAGCGGTTCCCCCTCTGGATTGCAGGAGAGGAGGGGGAAAAAGACTGAGTTGAATTTTCCTGCAAAAAGAAGGGGAAAAGGAAGATAAAATTTACTGTTTAAAACCTGGAACGGACTGCCTTGAGATAAGGGTTGCATAGTGGAAAGTGTATTTCTGACAGCTAATCCTGCAAAAGGGATACAGTGTTTCTGGACTGCTCCTGTTTTGAAAGTAACTGTTTAAGTGCATTGAGACTGTTCTTTTTAAAGTGAATTTGGGGGACTTATAAAAACTATTTTTGCGTTTAAAAGTTGCAAGTTCTGGCTGTTACTGTGTCCCCCTAGAGGAAGCTGGACATTGCTACAATAACAACTGGCTTAGAGGAAAATTCCATCCTACTCCAAAATAACTGCTTAACTGTGGGAGCGACCTTGAATTTCTATGACACTGTTATGGCAGATGGTAAAGGGAAGATAGAGCCGCAGGAAAAAACTACTAGGTCTGGCAGACATTATTGGATAGACACTGCGCAGCCGCGAAGGGGCTCAACATCTGGAGCATCTGGAACATCAGGGGCCGCACTCCCACAGGTTAAACCAAAAGTTATGTCGTCGGAAGAAATTTCGGCACAGGCACTTGCAAAAATTAATGAATCTTTGGAAAGTTTAAATAAACAGGTAGCTGAGACAAATAGACAAGTTGCGGAAGCATCAAGCAAAATTGATTTAAACACTGTAAGTATTAATATCTTGGGGCAGAAGGTGAATACCAACACAGAGACCATTGAAAAATTACTACAGGAATCTGCCTCGACTCGAAAGACAGCTGAGGAGGCAAAAGATATTGCAACTGCTACTCAAGAGAAAATTCCACCAGTATATAAGAAATTGGAGGACCATGATGTGACATTCTCTATGATTGAATTGAAAGACAGACAAAGAAATTTAAGAATCAGGGCTGTTCCAGAACGGGAGAAAGATAACTTGGCTGATTTTCTTACACAGGAATTCATAGATTTTTGGCAACTGGATTTGGGGAAGGAAGAATTCAAGATAGTGAATGCATTTAGACTCGGAAGAAGACAAGGCAAGGACAAGGTGAGAGACTGTTTGATTACCTTTCGAACAAAAGAAGAGAGAGATAAAATTCTGAATCTGCATTATCAAAAACTTTGGAAATTGACGATTCAAGTGTGGTGATTTTTAAGGATATCCCAAAGCATCTGCTGGACTTAAGGTCCAAATACGGAGATCTAGTGACTCTGTTGAAAAGAAATAGAATTCTTTTTAGGTGGGAATTCCCTCAAGGCCTGTCCTTTAAATACAAAGGAAGAAAGATAAAAATAAGGACAGTTGAGGAAAAAGACAGGTTCTTGAAAGACCACGAAGAAGATCTACAGAAAGTAGTGGAATCTGAAGAAGAGCCAAAAGGCATATTAGACATATCAAATTTATCTTTTGGATTACACGGTCCAGAAAAAGCGACATTACCTACAGAACAAGAATTGACACTCGGAGCAGTTGGAGGTAAAGTGAAGTAGCCCCCACCATGGCCCTGCAACTATTAAGCTGGAATTGTAACGGTTTGAACTCTCCTCGAAAGAGAAAAAGTGTGTTTCATCTATT